GTACTTATCTTTTGATATCTTTATGGGCTCAGAATGCTCTGGTCCCTGTTGCATCTGCGCACTCTCCACCTCCACCTCCAGTTTCTAGTTCCCAGGTTACCTGGCTTCTGACTGGTAAGGCCAAGAGCAGGATCTGATGAAAGACTGAAGGTGGGAGGAAAGCAGCTACAGGGTCTTTCTCCTCTCCTCTTCTCCTCTGACAACATCTCGGGTAGTGGGTGGGCCTCTACCAGGGCTCCAGCTAGTAGATGACAAATCTACCATGTGTCCAGTGTCCTCTAAGTGCCCCGTCCTCAGCCCTGGGGTAGGACTGGCTTCCTTCTGTTGAGAATCTCCTAAGTGGCCTTCCTGTGCCCTCTGACGTCTCATCTCTTCTTTCACCAGGGTAAAGTCTCTGCATTAAATGTGTCCTATTTTACATACTAAGTGGTTTCTTTTTCCTGACACATATATTTTATAGAACAATTTTGCTTTCATTTCATAGCTTATGAATGTTGATAAAGGGAATGTTAAATTATCCATTACCTCAGTTAATCAGATGTAGATAATGGGGCAAAGAATAATAAGATAAAATGACTGCCCTCAGGGAGCTCAGTCTGGCTGGGGAGATAGTGCTTAGCAGAGTACGTGGGAGCTGAGGAGGACTAGACTAGGGTAGTGGTGGGACATCCACCCTCATATCCTTTTGCTGACCAGGATCTGCCCAGTCTGTCTCTGTAGTCATGAAATTTATTGACTGTCTCATCTCCTGCCTCTACCTATTAGACCTTCCTTATCTTCTGATTAAATAAAAGAACTGGCCTCTTTCTGTATGCTTGAAGTCATTTACTTATTTGATAAGGCATTTCATGAGTGTATGTGTCTAGGGATTTCAGAAGTCTAGCAATAAAACATTCCCTGCTAATGGAGAAAGCCTGTAGGTCCACACATTATCAAACCTTCACATGCTAGACACTGTATGTTGAGTGTTCTGCAAAGTTAAAAGAACACAGTGTTTGCCCTCTAGGTGCTCACCATCTGAAAACAAACCTATAGAGATAGAAACTGGCAAGAAAAAATGTTAGAAACAATATCTACCTTAACTTTTCTCCAGTAGGGTTTGGTTTGTGTTGCTGCTCCGGAGTTATGGCCAGGTGTTAGTAGTCTTGAAAGCTAACACTAGAACTCTTTATTCTTTGAAGATTTAAGATGGAATGTACTAGCCTGAGTTCTGGGGCTCTTACTTCCTGGCTCTGCCTCTTATTATAAGTGTCATTTTGGCCAAATGACTTAATCTGTATGATTCCTATCACTATCTGTAAGATGAGGATTATAATAGTGTCTGCCCTAGGATTGCTCTGAGGATTAAATGGCAAAAGGTATGTGATGTGCATAGCACACCTGCTGACACAGTGCAGTGCATGAGCATGATAAATACTCATGCACTGCACTGTTTCTGCAGCCAGAGCGAAGTCTCCTAAGGCTCAGCTGAGAAAGGTGTGTTGTGTGAGTTCCAAGGTTCATTGCTTTCCTTCCACATGAAGGCTGCTGTGGCTAATCCCGAGATCCTTTGTAGTCACCTTATTTCAATTGCAAAGACAATGCTGGACCATGCTTTCTTTAGGACAAGTTAGTCTTGAGTTTTCAAGTCACCTCTTTAATCACATCAAACATGATTGGTTGTTGCTTCAGGACACTTCCTGAAACAAGTTTGAGACAGGTAAGACCTTTGTGGCAGGTAATACCTTAGAGAAGATTCAGGTATCGCTGCCTCTCTGAAAACTTCTGTTAATATCCATCACCTCCCTCCTCATGTGAGTTTCACATCTATTAATTGAGCACCACTATTTTTTAGTTCTGTATTGGACTTCAGGGATACAGGATGAACAGACAGTTCCCATTCTCATGAAACTTAGTGTAATGGAAATATATGTAAACAAGTTCAATGGACCCTGATGCAAACACAAACGGAAAGGTGTGGAAGGTCAGAGCGGTACCTGGGAAGAATATAAGGAAAGTTTCAGAGGTTTGGTGACATCTCAGTAGATCTTGAATGGATTAAGAATAGGGAGGGTCAGCAGGTCAGCATGGTTTGTACAGGGGAACTGGACCATATGTGAGGGTGTGTAGGGGTGTGATTGGGGATGAAATTGAAGATGCAGGCAGGACCATGTAAGAGCTTGGCCTTTCTCATGTAGACATTGGGGGCTGTTGAGTGATTTTAGGCAACAGAATGCTATAAGATTTGCATTTTAGCAGAATCATCCTTGTGTGGATGGTGAACTTGAGAAGGATGTTAGAGATGTTGGCAAGTTCCTGTCCCCACTGCAGATTTATTAAGGCCAGTGACAGAGCCCTATTTACTTCTGTATCCTTGAAGCCTAATACTTTTTAGACATTTAAGAACTGTTGTAGAATAAAAACAGCCCAAGTTGAATTTCCCAATTCTGCATCCTATCCTCAGAACATGCTGACCTAGACCTCCATCTGTCATAAGCAGCTTGACTAAGATCATAATAAATTATTTTTGGTTGGCATTCTTTTAACTGGCACTCTCTATTTACTAGCCCCTCTGTGCAACTGTAGTGTGGTGATGATTGATGCTTATAATTCTGACCCTGAAGTACTTCAAGCCTTCTAAATCATCAAAAGCAGATTAAAGTATAGTCAATATCACTGCAATGTTTGTGTGTTTTACTGCATTCTTATTCTTTGGAAATTAATGGTTTATCATGTGCCTGTCTGCTCAGTTGCTTGTAGGCACAGCAGGAGTCCATGATCACCCCAACTCTGCTCTCTCTCCTAGTACCTGCCAGGCACAGAGAGTTTATTGGCAATGTATGCCTAGAAATAGGCCAGCAAAATAAATCCAGGTTTTCTTCTTTCCTGGGAGGAAGCAGGTTGGCCCCAAAGGGGCAGATTGGACAGAGATGAGAGAGGAAGCAGTAGTTGGAAATATAGTGGGAGTGGAGTGCTAAGGCAAGAACTGGTACAGAGCGAGACAGGCAGTTTACAAGCAAGCCCACGCTAGGGCCTGAGGCAGGGACATCAGCTTCGCAGTCTTGTGTGCCTTGACCGGCATCATCAGGCCTGAACTTGGCAGCAGTGTCTACCAGTTATATTTGTATTACAGTAGCAACTGTTCAGTAAAATGCCAAACAGCAAGTGAAAGCATCAATAATTAGAGCATCCTGTTTCCCACACTCACACATCTTCTCGTGAAACCATTATTAGTGCCGAGCTGGCAATATGATTTGGCCCAGAATGCAGAACTCCAAATAGAGGCTATGAGATGGCTGACTCCATTCTGTTACCTGGCTTCCGGGGGGAAAGGCACGTGGTGGTGTTACCAGGAGGGAGATTGGCTGTTGGGATTATCTTTTGGGGGTTGTATATTGCAGTAAGTAGAGATGTACAGGTTTGTTTTTCAAATCTGTGTTTGATCAAGTTATGCCTTTGTCAGGGAGCCTCACTCATTGTCCAAGCCTGGAGAGGCAGTCCCCAAAACACAGGGATTGTTTGTCATCTTCTAGGCAAGGGCACAGGTGGACTTTAGAGCAAGCTTTACCATTAGCCAACTCGGTGATTTTGGGGGAGTCTCTTAGTATCTCTGGGTTTTACTTTTTCTTTTTCTGAAATATTGGAATAATGTAAGTTCCTTCTTTACAAGGTTGCTGTGAGGCTGGGATACTATATTGGATGTGAAAATGCTGAACTGGGAAGCCCTATATGCGTAAGAGTATACTACAGATACTAAAGCACATGATAAATATTCTAATAAAAATAGAAATGTTTCATCAGCAAGCACAGTATCCTCAAAGATTTCCCCAAAGTACAGTGGGGAAAGTGAACTAAAATTGAATTCCTACTGCAGAGTAGATGTTCTGGCTGTTACTCTAGTCTAGCCACTCCACAAGCTCACATGAAATCTCTGTTTCAGAGATGAGGAAATAGCTTCTAGTCACAGCAGTATATCCACATAGCACAGGTGGGATGTGGGCCTGGCTCCAGAACTTAGTGCTCCTTCTCCTTCTCTCTAGTTGTCTGTCTTACTCCATCCCTCCCTCCTCCAAAGTTCTTAAAAGCTGTTCATGGCCTTTGGGGCCAGGGAGTTGCCATTTCTTGGACATCCACACCTGTAGGTGGGGCAGGGCGGATCCAGAGGCCCTGAGCTCCAGGAGCCCCTGGGGGACCAGCAGTTCGGAGAGAGTCAGGGTATAGGGCACACTCAGAGTTGGCAGATCTGGACTGGAGGCAGGTGTGCCCCTTTCCCAGACCTTGAGGAAATGGCTGTAGCCCTGTAGTTTCCGGAAGTTCATCTGTCAAAGTGTGTTTCAATCTCATGCAGGTTGTTTGGTGAGCTGCTTCTTGGGTCCTTCTCCCAGGAATCAGTGCGTCCCGTGCATTCTGACTACCTCCTTGCTCTGCTTGCAGAGGGAGTGAGGTTAAATTTATCCCATGTAGTAACCACTCTGCTGAGCTTTTCTGGGACCCTCCTGTTGACTTTGATGCCAGATGTAGAGGAAAGGATCCCCAAGGTGGCAGCTCATTACCTGCCCAGTGGAACCCACCGCCGCATGCATTTTCTTTCTTTTTTTTCTTTTTTTAAAAATTATTTTATTGATTTTTTTTTTACAGAGAGGAAGGGAGAGGGATAGAGAGTTAGAAACATCGATGAGAGAGAAACATCAATCAGCTGCCTCCTGCACACTCCCTGCTGGGGATGTGCCCGCAACCAAGGTACATGCCCTTGACCGGAATCAAACCTGGGACCCTTGAGTCCGCAGGCTGACGCTCTATCCACTGAGCCAAACCAGTTAGGGCTGCATTTTCTTTTATATATAAAGTTTTCACGGTTCCAGACTAACAGAGTCAGCTTATGAAGTGGAGCTGCCCACACAGAGAACCAGAGAGAATGCCTGTTGAAGGGCCACATTGAATATTCAGGGAGGATGTCAGTGTGTGGGAGAAGCATTTGTTCAGACTGGATCTGAGAGGAGCTGTGTGTCGTGTTTCCATAGGTTCTCAACAGGAGGTGTGTAGAGGCGGCAGTGATGACAGGCCTGGCACTGAACTGCCACATAAACAAGAAGTCCTTGTTTGACAGGAAGCACTACTTCTATGCAGACCTCCCTGTAAGTATGCTTTGTGATCGCCCTCTGTAAGTTATCAGAGCTGGGGGGGTTGGAGCTGGGGAGGAGGGCTGTGCCTCACATGTTTCCCATCAGAGGTCTGTCCATCGCAGCAGGAAGGTCTGCCCGACCTGATGAAGACAGGTGCCCCCCGATGTTTACTAGATTGGATGCAATTGTCCTGATTGCTGACTCCTTGCTTAGCCTCATGCTTCTGGTGGCTCGCTCATAATTGAACGGGGAGTGGAGAAGCCAGTCTTCCCAGGTTCAGCCCAGCCGTGGTGTTTGGCGCTAATTGCCTGTTATGACAAAAGCTAACTCGGGCTGATGCAACGGTAAATGCAGTAAATGTGTACTGTAGTTCTGTAGACACAGCGAGAGCTTCCCTCTTTCAAGTTGAAGTTCCCAATAATAGGACCGTCACCTCTGGAGACATTTCTGTCATCTCACAAGGAGCAAGTAAGTGGACGACAGAAAGCAGAACCATGCGCCTGAAGCCTAGGCTCACAACAGGAATTGGCTGAGCAGTAAAGCCAATGTTAACCTGCTTTTTCCTTAAAATTAGAAAGTGTTTTTCTTTTAGAGAAGCCAGTTTTTTTTATAACATTGAACAGAACCCAAACTGCAGTGTTGAATGGGTTTCCCCAAATCATGTTTATTTGATCGGAGCCTCTGATACTAAGTATGGCCCTTCTTCAGATTTAAAAAAAAAACACACACACAAAAAATGGGGGTGAGGATATTGCTCCCCATTCTCCTTGAACTGGAGACTGGGGTGAGCTGGTTTTTAGTGCGTGAGAACAGGAGAATTAAATTAAAAATACAGCTAGAACCTGAATTCTCCAGCTGCTGCTTGGACCCTCTGGCTGCAGCCTTTTAGCAGATCCTCCTCTTTCAGAGGATGGAGAGCATGAACTGACATTTTTACATCTTTTTTTAAGAGTGATAATCAGTTTGGTTAAGGTGGGAGACTTAGCACTAGGGGACTAAAATGAGAAGTTCTGATTATTTGTGTCTCTTTATTCTTTCTGGCCCAGGCAGCTCAGATGATCCAGAGTTAGTCTTGTCAAATATTACATGGACATACTCTTAAAAAAATTTATTATTTATCTGAATAAGCAGTTTATTTAAATTATTCTAATTTGAATTTAAGCATCCTGTATTTTATTTGGCAGCCCTACTCAGAGTTTAATTTTTATAAATTGAGACTTCCTTACTTCCTTTTTGCACAGAGAATGAGTTGGCCTAAAGCAGTGATTCTGAAAGTGTGGTTCCCTGGACCACTAGCATCAGCATTTCTTAGGAACTTGTTAGAAATATAAATTCTCAGGTACCATCCCAAACCTGCAGAGTCAGAAACTCTTCAGGTGGAGCTAGTCTATGTTTTGACCAGTCTGCCAGTTGATTCTGAAGCAGTTCAAGTTTGGAAAATGCTGGCTGGGTGGCTAGGAGCAGACTGTGGAGCCCGACCATCCAAGTTCAAATCCTGACATTGATGCTTACTAGCTCGGTGACTTGGGGCAAGGCCCTTAATCCCTCCTGGGCCCTGTACCTCTTGCTAGGATTGTTGTGAAGATCAAGAGGTGTACCTTACTGAGCACACAGTGTCAGGGACCCCAGCAAGCTGAAGCAGGTGCTTCAGCTGTTACTCTCTGTTCTTCTCCAGTTCTCCCTATTGACCTGCCGTCTCTTTAGCACAGTGGTTCTCAACCTTGATTGCACATTAGAATCACCTTGGAATCTTTTTAAAATCCTGATTTCTGGGCCTCATCCTCCGGAAATTCTGTTTCTTTGTTACTAATGTTGTGGACCCACCCATAACAAAGAAACAGAATTTCCAGAGGGTGAGGCCCAGAATTCAGGATTTTAAAAAGATTCCCAGGTGATTCTAATGTGCAGCCAAGGTTGAGAACCACTGCCTTAGAGGCCTCTGACAGTGAGATTATTGTTATTCCCCCAAATGGTACTTCAGTAGGGAAGATAGGATTCGGGTTGTTTATTGCACCATTATTTGGGGCAGGGGATGTCCAGGGAGGGTAAATGGGGATAGGAAAGCCAGAAGAGGCCAGGCTAAATTATGGCTGCAAGGCATAAGGTAATTTTTCTTCTCCTTTTTATTTTTCCTTTTTTTGTTTTGTTTTGTTTTGTTTTGTTGTGTTTTTAGTTAAGCCTTTACTTTTGTGACCTTAGAAGGAATAGTGAACTGGACCCAGCTTTTACTTGTGGACTGGTGACTATGTAACCCCTGTTTGTGTGCAGGCAGGCTACCAAATTACCCAGCAGAGGCTCCCGATCGCTGTGAAGGGCAGCTTGGCGTACAGCGTCTGTGTGGGGAAGAAGCGGAGTCAGGTGATCAACAAGACAGTGAGGATCAAGCAGATCCAGCTGGAGCAAGACAGTGGCAAGAGCCTTCACGATGACCTGCGGTCCCAGACGCTCATTGACTTGAACAGGGCGGGTAGGCTTAGAGATTCTCCATTACTTTTCCTCACAGCCTCTCTTCTCCCCTCCAGTTTCCCCAAACAAATTGAGGACGCAGGCCCAGAAACCGGACAGGTGGAGATCAGAATATCCACATTGGTACTGGCACAGGTGATCAGAGAACTGTGATTACTCTTGGGCTTTTTAACAATCCACCCCTAACACGAGACAAACGGAGCCGCCTCGTCAGACTCAACAGCTTGATATCTTAAGCCGACTTTAAAAGAAATGATTCAAAGTTAAAGATGAAAAAGTGAGGGAAAAGAGAGAAGCAATTCTGAGGCTAGGACCCACTTTGAGAGTCCTTCAGTGATGCATGGTTTTCCAAAAATTTCAGCCTAATTTATCTGCTGATCAGATTGGAGAGCTCAGTCAGGCTGACTCTGCCTCTCGTTGGTAGGAGTTGGCCTTCTGGAAGTGGTCCTGGAGCCCGATATGTCCTGTGGAGAAGAGGCAGCAACAGCTGTCAGGGAGCTGCAGCTGATACTTCAAGCCCTGGGGACCAGCCAGGCAAACATGGCAGGTACAAGCTCACAAGCAGTGTCCCTTCTTCTATACCTCCTCCCTTTCTGCTTCTCGGGTCTCTGCACTTAAGTTTTATTCTCTGCATCAGCTGCTTTGAGGTGGTTTACATCCTTCTTTCAGCTTTTTACATTCCTAATTGTTTTGGGGTTTGTTTTTTTTTTAGAATTTTCCTTGGATTCTTTTCTGAGCCCCCTAAACACACTAACAACAAGGGTACAGAGGCCCTGGGCCCAACCATGTGAGATTAGGAGTCACAAGAGTAGATGCTCTGTCTGGCTTCATGCATCAGAATGTTGTGAGGGTTGATGAAATAATGTGTTTGGATGGTTTCACCTTTCTCAGTGAGAAGACACTGTTTATCCAGAATAACTCAGTTTGTGAGAGCTGTGTGGGTGGCACTTCTTTGTTAGTTGATGCCTTTCCTTTTGGTCTTTCTTTTCCTGCTTCTGGAGAATTTTCATCCATGTGCAGCTGAAGCCAAATTATATAAACTATAAGCCAAGGTTATGATTTCTCTAAACTTTTACTTTGAGGTAAAATCTTTAATTCAATAGAAATTAAGGTAAACAAGAAAACCCACTTGTATCCTTGGGACCAAACAAACTCTGCATTTTAAGTATTTGTACATTTGACATTAGATTATAAGTTCCTGTCAAGTTCAGTTTCTTCATGGCTTGCTCCCTTGGCCCCTTCCTCGTGCTGCTTTGCTGGCCCGGAAGTCCCTGAAAGCTAGTCTCTCCCGTGGTTTTCTTCCTATTTTCTGTTCCCAGAGGCTTTTTAAAAATCTTCTGCCACCCACAGAGCACTCCCTTACAGAGTGGAGAGGGGATACAGTTTCTGCATGTACAGTTGTTCATCTGAGATCACTGCAGTGGTGTAGTAGTGTTCTCCAGAGAAACAGGACCAGTGGAATGTGTGTACTAGTATGTTACGTGTGTGTGTTTGTATCTAATGACATTTATTGTAAGGAACTGGCTCATATGATCATGGAGGCTGAGAAGTTCCAAGATCTAGTCAGGAAGCTGCAGGAGAGCTCTTGCAAGAGCGCGAGCTCCAGGGGAGCGGGTAGGGTAGTCCAGTTCAGGTCCACAGGCCTGAGGACCCTCAGAGAGCCGATGGTGTAAGGTCCAGTCTGAGCCAAGTCCAAGGGCAGGAGACCAATATCCCAGCTCAAAGACAGTCTGCTTTACTCAGTCTGTGGATTCAAATGGTAATCTCATCCAGAAGCACCCTCGCAGACACACCCAGAATAATGTTTAACCAAATATCTGGGTACCCCCTGACCCAGTCAAGTTGACGTAACATCAGCCAACACGAGTGGTCACAGTGAGTGCCCGTAAATACCTCTGATAGTGATGATTCGTCTCCCTGCCAGTTTGTGATGCTGTTTACCAACCTTTTCATGTCATGCAATACAGTTGTATTCTACAAAAAAAGACTTCTGAATTCGTAATGCCACATTTGTCACATAGGACATCTTACAAGCAATAAATTGTTACATCAGAGACCTGGTACAAGTTGAATCTGAAGATAGAACTTGCCTATTTGCTATCTTCCTTAAGCTAACGATTAGAAAAACACTAGCCACATGAGTGAGTGGCTTAAAGGTTAGCTGCCTGCAAGTTTGCTTTAGAGAAACAAGGCTTTGTTTTAGAATAATAAAACTCCATTTTAGATTTATGGCTCATGCTGCTTTTACCCACCGAACATAAGTGAAATATGGGCAGGTTGGATGGTTATTCATTCATGCACTAAGTGTTAATTCTCTGTTGCTATGAAAAAAGGGTTTTATTATTCCATTATTCTTCAAAATAACTGATTTCTACCAAACTTATGGAATAATAAACAGGCCACCTGTTAGTTAAGAAGTAACCCCATCTGGGTCCTTGCCAAGAGATAAACCGTATCGGCACGAACACATCAATTCAGTGACAGCTGAGAGGATTCATTAAATGGCATTTGGTGTGATATTTTTTGTTGCTTTTAAAAAACCAAAGTTTTTCCCATAGCACAGCAGCAGAGTGGCTGTGGTAGTCCCAAAGTGCTGTGGGGAGGGTCCAAAGTCTGTAGCGTCTGCAGGGGTCAGCCCCGACCCCTTTGCTCTCACCACCATGGAACCACTGTGTTGGCACTGGAGACTGCAGCCTAGGAACTGAGGGCTACTCTGGGGAGGACCAGTGGTCCCCAGGGTGCTTTGGGAATGACTCTTAAATTCCTCTGGGCTGTGATTCAGTGAGTTCCTGATAGTTTTGCTGATGAGCATAGATCAGCTCAGCCTGGGTTCCAAAAGTCATTTCTTTCTCAGGGCTGTCTGCCACTGTGAGATCTTCAAAACAGTCTGTTGAGTTGAATTTGTACCTATGTAGACATACAAAATGTTTCAGTGGTAATAATATTGTTCAGTTTGAACATGTGGCATGTGCTCATTGGTTCACTAAGCATTTTAAAAACTCATTTATCTCATTTAAACTTTATGACAGTTCCTGAGATGTTTTTATGCCCGTTGTACGGGTGAGGAAAGTGGGGCTTAAGGAGGTTGGGTTATTTGCCCAAAGCTCACAAGTGACTGAGCTAGGATTTGAGACCAGGTATGTCTGACTCCAGGAGCCTTTTCTTTAAACACTGATCACACTGCCTCCTAGTGGCAACCACAATAGATAGCTATCCTATACAATAAAAGCCTAATATGCTAAGTGTCCAGTCGTCCGTTCAACCAATCAAAGCATAATATACTAATGATATGCTAAGTCCACTCAGCCGCTCTTTATGACGTGCACTGACCACCAGGGGGCAGATGCTCCAACCGGTAGGTTAGCTTGCTGCTGGGGTCCGGAAGATTGGGACTGAGTGAGTCCAGCCAGACACGCCCTGGAGCCCTCCTGCAGTTCCTCCCCCGCTGGCCAACCTCCTGCATCCCTCCCTGGCCCCAATTGTGTACCAGTGGAGTCCCTCCGCCTGGCCTGCACCCTCTCGCAATCCGGGACCCCTTGAGGGATGTTGGAAATCCAGTTTCAGCCCAATCCTGCAGGCCAGGTTGAGGAACTCCACTGGTGCACGAATTTGTGCACCAGGCCTCTAGTCTATCATAATTGCCATAGATAACTTTGAAAGATAGTATAGCAGAGCATGAGTACCATGGGTGCTGATGGCACTAAGGGCCCAGATCTGGAATGGAATCCTGTCCTACCACTTGTAGCTGTAGGAACCTGGCAAGGTATTTGATTTCTCTGAACCTCACTTTCCACACTTAGAAAATGAGTTCTCAAATAATTGTGTATGAAAAGGGAAAGGAAGAAACCAAAGAACAAAAAAACCATCCAAGTCTTCAGTTAGTTGGGGCAGCTGGATGGTGTCCCTGAGACAGGGAGATGATTTACTGAGACAGGGACAATTGGGAGAGGTAATTTTGTGGGAGAAAATCATTTTGAATGTTAAGTTTGAAATGCCTAAAGGGTGTCTAAGTGGCTTTGTCATTGAACTAGATTGTAGGGAATGAATTGATAATGTGTATAAAACTTATCACAGGCCCCGACAAATAGCCTGTGCTCACTATCTTAGGTATTTTTAACAATAGTAAGTAGTGTTACTTTTACAGAATCACCGCTCATTTTAGATGAATACACTTTGTGAAATGTGGTCACTTTTTCTCAATGTCGAACCTGGTTATTTAAGTTCTGGAAAGTATTCAGTGATCAGAATGAGATAGTTTAATAGACTTCTCACTAAATCCTCAGGCCCCTGCTGCTTACAGAAACAGCTTTCTGTCCTGATGTTATATTTCTGATGTGCGAATGTGTTTCAGGAAAAAATAATGTAACTGTACCATGTCACTGTGCTCAGTGGTGTAGTTCTTTGGCTTTGCTGTTACAAATCTCTACTTCTAGAGGGTAGAAATTGAGCTTGATAGCATTCTCATGATATGTGTATAAAGGCCCTCCCTTGGTGTTGCAGAACCTGACTGGTAAGGCTTTTGTGCACTTGAGGCGATTTAACTTAATTTGTTTGAAAGGTATTTTGTCTTCACTGGATAGAATGTCTTTTGTTAATGTTTGATGCCATATTTGAATCCAGGCTAGGGAATGCTCTTTCAACACTGCAGGATACTAAGCGATTCCTCTCAGACTTTTCTATAGCATGGTCATCTCTGGGAGAGACTGAAATTCATGCTTTTATTCCATTTCCAAATTAGAGTTCTAAATTGTGAAAGATGGTTTCGTTCTTAAAAGCAAGTGAGGTCCAATTCAGGGTTCCCTGAGTTCCAACAAAGTTGTCTCTCAAGTATTGAAATTTGGTTGAGTAGAGCTCAGCATACTGTGGAAGTTTTCCTTTGAGCTACATGGGCCTTTCAGATTATTCCAGATGTAATTTAGTCCTACTTAGACGCAACTTTAGAATTTATCAGGAACCTGCTGTGAGACAGTAACCAGTCCACTTACTCATTGCTCAGGAAAACACCATAGTTTTGGCTTGTTCAATAAGGTATTAATTTATTGAGCAATTACTATGTTCCAGACCCAGCTCTGGGTTCTGAATATAGCCATGCAAAGGATATTCACAAGCTTATGTTCATGAGGGAGGAAAATTCATTAACAAATAAAACAAAAGCAATTATAGTGATAAGTGCATTAAGGAAATAAATAGGGTGTCAAGGAAATTGAAGGCCTCTCAGGGGAGGCAACATTTGTTTGAGACCTGAAGAATGAGTCCAGGCCCAGGCAGCATAGAGGGAGGGAATGAGCATTCTAGGAAAATGCTAAGGCAAAGTCCCTGCATGAGAAAAATCTCAGGATATGCTCGGAGTTAGCATAGTTAACAGCCACTGCAGGGAAAGCATAATGAGCAGGCGAATGCAGCATCAAGTGAGGCTTGGGATAGATTACCAGTAATGGCAGGAAGTTGTTTAGGTTTCATTCCAAGTGCAGTGGGAAGCCCTCGAAGGGCTTTGAAGCAAGGGAATGACTTAGTCTTAGTCTATGTAACATTTAGAACAACCACTCTGTCTGCTTTGTGGAAAGTAGACTCAGAAGGGTAAGAGGAAGCAAGACCAGGTAAAAAGCTTTTGTCATCATTCAGATGGAAGATGATGCTTTTGTGGACAGGGCTGGTATCAGTGAAGATGAAAAGATCAAGACAGATAGGTTCAAGATGGTTTTTTGAAATAAGAGGATTTGTTAGCAGACTGCTATGGAAGCCAAGGGACAAGAAGAAATCAAAGATGCCTTTTAGGAAGGCTGAGGAGCTAGGTCAGTGATGGCGAACCTATGTCACCTCTGACACGCGAACTCATTTTTTTGGTTGATTTTTCTTTGTTAAATGGCATTTAAATATATAAAATAAATATCAAAAATATAAATCTTTGTTTTCCTATGGTTGCAAATATCAAAAAATTTCTATATGTGACACGGCACCAGAGTTAGGGTTTTTCAAAATGCTGACACGCCGAGCTCAAAAGGTTCACCATCACTGAGCTAGGTGGTGGTGTTATTTATTGAAATTGCAAAAGTGAGGACAAGAATGGCTTTTGTGGGGTTGGGGGGCAAGTCAGGATTTAGTTTCAGAAATTGAAATACCTTTGAGACCTCCAAGTAGAGGTGTCAAGTAGACTTTGGATATCAATGAGGAGCTCCGAATAGAGGTCTGGGCTGAAGAGATCAATTTAGGAGTCATCAGCAATAGATGGTATATAAAACATATACCCCCACAGCAAGAGTATAAGCAAAGAAGATAGTCCTAAGAGTTTGAATGGGAAAGAAAGCACCAGCAAATAAAGTGGAAATGGAGTCTCCCAGGGTGGCCGGAGGGAAATCGAGAGGGCTTAAGGCCACAGGAGCTGAGAGAGGACACTACTTCAGGAAGGAAGGATTAGTCAGTATGTCATGTGTGACTGAGGTATCCCATAAGGGGAAGAGAGAACATGTCCTTTGTCCACTGGATTTGGCGGCAGGAGGTTGTTGGTGACTTTGTGTAGGCATTTTCCCAGAGGAGGAGATAGAAGCCAAGCTGAGCTGGGTTTAGAAGTAAATGGGAGGTGAGATCATGGAGACAATATGTGCAACAAACAAAACTTGTTTGCGACGATTTGTTGAAAGGAAAGTAGAAAAATGGTAGCTGAATGACGGAGAGAGAACTGGGTTCAGGAGAGCAGGGCTTTGGTTTTGGGTTTTGTTTTTTTAATGAGAAATATTACATATGTATATATTAGAAGTAGTGCTGAGAAAGGGAGGTTAATGACTGATGTAAGAAGGAGGTGACTGAAAGAGTGATGTCCTTGGGAAGGCAAGAGTGGTGGGGATATAAAAGCTGGGCCCATTTTTCAAAGGCCTGCCATTCTGGTCTTAAAGATAAGATTAATTCAAAATACACTGTAGACATGTGCTAGATCCTGTAGTATTGGTTGTGTACGTTCTAATAATGCAGGGGAGCCAGCAGTGGAGGCCAGCTTATTGATAAGGGGTTTTAAGAAGAAAAGGTGGTAACACTCAAGCAGGACCTTGAAGGATGAGCAGAGGTTGAAGAAGGGACAGTCACACTGATGAAGAGAGTGCGTGGGAGCCAGCTGTGCAGACAGGGACTTGTATGAAGAGAGCTCCCCTGATTGGAGGAGAGCTTTCTTATGGAAGGCCTAGTGGGGAAATGTGGATAGTGTCAGCCAAGACCAGATGAGGGCTCTTGAATACCAAGCAAAGGAGACGAGTCGATCCAATAGGAGCTGGCTGTGCACTTGAGCAAACAAAGGGAATGCTGAACATGACTTTGTGGGAGGATGAAAGTCAGAGCTGTACCCAGGTGGCTGGACAAGGAGGGGTTGAGGGGTTGGTTGCTGTATTAAAAGTCTAGATGCGATTCTGTCATCTGGGCTTGAAGTCCCGAGGCCTCAGGCGGGGGTGGCAACAGTGGAAATGGAGAGGTAGTGACAGGTATGAGGAATATTTGGAGGGAAGAACTGATAGGATTTAGTTATCAGTTTGGATATAAAGGACAAAAAAGAAAAGCAGAAGATGACTTCAGGGTCCCCAGACAGAGAGTCTGATGATGTCAGGAATAGTTGGAACTTTTTGAGATTCAGGTAAGCACAAATTGTCCAAAAGGAGCTACAGGATTTTGTAAAAGTCTTGAGATGTCCAGACTGGAGACAGAGTAATTTCCAAACTGAAAGGCACCTGTTCCCTGACTGTCAGCATGGGGGGAGTTGCATTAGCAGGGAGGGTGAGCTCTTCCCTTTCCTGTGGGAATGAGTGAAGAGCTGGGCAAGCAGCAGCCTGCCCTTGGTCTCCAGCTTGGAGAGTGAGCCCCACAGCCCAGCTCTGAGGCAGTGACAGAGACCAGTGCCTAGGGCAGTGATGGCGAACCTTTTGAGCTCGGCGTGTCAGCATTTTGAAAAACCCTAACTTAACTCTGGTGCCGTGTCACATATAGAAATTTTTTGATATTTGCAACTATAGTAAAACAAAGATTTATATTTTTGATATTTATTTTATATATTTAAATGCCATTTAACAAAGAAAAATCAACCAAAAAAATGAGTTCACGTGTCACCTCTGACACGCATGTCATAGCTTCGCCATCACTGGCCTAGGGTCTCCTTTTTTGGCATGGAATTTATTCACACCATTTAATTATTTTAATATGTATTTGCTATCGAATCTGGGAAAATTCATTTATTTATTCAGCCTATCAGAACACTTAGGTTTGGCAGATTATTTTTCAATTTAAAAACCTGCCTATGAAAATAAAAATTCAGCATCTTGTCTTCTTATTCTGTCCCATTTTAAATATTGTAAGTGAAATTGGGAAACAGAATTTGAGCTTTACTTTGTAGGGTATAAGACCTAAGTGTTTCTTAACTTCACCTCCCTATTTGTCTTGGAACTTTGCCTCCCTCTCCTCCTCAAGAGCCTCTTAGTCCTCTCCACAAAGCACCTGCTTCCTTTTGGGTTATTACTCCTAATCTAAAGGGGCTTTCAGGGTCAGAGAAGGTCCTCCCAGGTTGGGGACACCTCCCTCTGAGTCTCACGACAGACTCCACGTCTAAATAGCTCTGTCCGCTGCAGCAGATCCTTACCGCGGCCAGAGAGGATTCAGAGTCCTATCTGGAAGGAAGGGATTGTTACAGTGCCAGAGGAGGGAAAATGCCCAAGTTCTGCTCTCGCCCTTGTGCTGTAAATTCTCAAGGACTCTCTTATTAATCTCCCAGAATCACTGTTGGAAATCCCCATTCCTTTGGAGAGCATGTAGGGTTATCAGATAGTCATTTCTGAGGCCTTCCCGACAAACTAGCTCTGACATTTTGAAAAAAGCTTGAGAATAGAACTGCTGAGTAAATCTCCATTTTAACAGTGTTGTTTTTTTCACTTGATACAAAAGGAATGAGATGTCCCCAGCTGGAGTATCCAGAATTTCTCCTCTCTCTGCGTGTGCACAAGTGCACACAATACATACATATACATGCACACACTTGAGATGCTTTGGGGCCAGGATTCTCTTATGCAGACAGAAGTGCCAGTCATGTACTTCAGAACCAGTGTTCCTTCTCTAAGGTTAGTTTGCTATCACTAAAGAGCAAGTAGAGTTAGATACTGCTTGCCTGGACACTTTTAGACCATGTTGCCTCAGAGAATTTCTAAAGAATTGTCTTTTTTTTTTCTCTTTTCAGAGGGCCAGTTGAGGGTAGATGCCAATATATCTGTGCATCGCCCTGGGGAGCCTTTGGGTGTTCGAACTGAAGTGAAGAATCTCAACAGTGCCAGGTTCTTGGCCAAAGCAATAGGTGAATGTCAGCTGTTACTCCTAATTGTACCTCTCTATGTCCATTATGTATTGCTGTGTAACAAACTACCCCAAACCTTAGTGGCTTGTACAGTAACTTTCAGTTTCCATGGTTTTTTGCACTTGTGCACTGGGTGGTTTTGCTGCTGTCCTGCCTCAGCTCCTTGATGTGACTGTGGAAGCTGGCAGCCCTTTGGGGCCTTGGTGCTGGATGTATGCTAGGCTTCTCTATCCACTTGGTCTTTCTTCATTTGCTTGCCTAGCCTGGGCCTTCTTGTGTGGCCTCGGGGGATTCCAGGGAAGAACTCTTGATAGGCAGCAGTTCTAGACCTGTGGTCAATGGGCCTAGATAGTGGCCCCAGCCCTTTTTCTACCAAGCTGTGTAACCTGCACTGGGTCATTTAATATCTCTGAACCCAAGTTTTCTCAAAAAGGGAGAGAGTAGAGTTTAATAAAAGACCCTTTTAAGCACCATAATTCTATGAAGGCAACAAGAAGAAAATACAGTGTACAGTAGTCCCCCCCTTATCCACAGGGGATATATATTCCAAGACTCCCCATGGATGCCTGTAGCTGTGAATAGTACCCAAACCCTATAGATACTATGTTTTTTTCTATACATACCTATGATTTAATTTATAGATTAGGCACAGTAAGATTAACAATAATAAGTAATACTAAAATAGAATAATTATAACACTATACTATGATAAGTTATATGGATGTGGTGTCAGTCTGTCTTTCTTAAAATATCTTATACAGTACTGTACGCACCCTTGACTTGTGATGATGTGAGATGATACAATGCCTAGTGCAGTGAAAGAGGTGAATGACGTAGGCACTGTGATGTAGCCTTAGGCTACTGTTGACCTTCTGAGGATACATCAGAAGGAGAATCCTCCGCTTTGAGTCATCCTGGGTTATGATGTTCATGGTTGGATGTCAGGAGCACACATTGTCTGAGACTGAGGAAATTTAACCTTGGACTGTGATTGAATTCAGGTATCTGAAACCAGAGAGTGAAACCATGGATAAGGAGGGAGTTGCACAAAGGAAGAATTACTATATATGAGCCTGTTGACTATTTTTTGTTAAAGATTTAAAAAGTTTTTTAAATATTGCTTGGCTGGATGAAAGGAATAAAAACATATGTTACTAAATGACTGTGTTTTTCTTAGACTATGAAATTCAGAGGCAAATCGAAGAACTTGAGAATGGAGGAGAAATTCTGAATGAAACTCGCTCCTTTGATTACAAGCTGGGGTGAGTCTGCATTGACAAACATCTTGAGTGCAACTGGGTGGGACTCCAGTCTGGCTCACCACAGATCAGCCATGTGACTGTGAAAAAGGTGCTTAGCTTCTCTGCAGTTCCATTTCCTCATTAGTAAAGTTAGGAAAATACTGTGTCCTATGAGGTTATAATACACCCCGCAGGGCTGGTAAAAGGTTTAAACTGAACCAGTTACGTAGTGCTTAGTCCTAGGTCCTGGCCCTTCCCTTGCTTCCAGGTTACCTGCTTTGTGGCAAGAATTTTTATTTCCTCAAATTCTATCAGATGAAAACTCTACCAATTTAAGCTAGAGGTAGAAGAAAGTTTAGAGCTGGTCATAGAGGTTCCTTTTTTTGTTTAGATAACATTGACTTTAATTTTCTAAATCAGAAATTTTGCAGTCTTATACTTTTAGCAGAAGATCAAACAAAGTGCAAAAGCCTACACTTAGAGCTGGTTAAAAGCTGGAAGCATTGAAGCAATTTCTTTTTTTTTAATTAGCATTCTAAACATTTTTCTTTTTTAATATTATTTTTTAATGTATTCATAAAATGTCTCCCAAGGAAAGCTGAAGAGCTTGAATCTGCCTGTGTCCCTTATTGACAGGGAATCCCCTCTCTGCGTGTGTGCCAGCCAGTGCCGCATGCAATATTCATTTAATGTTTTCTTACTTAACTATCGTAGATGCACCGTGCCGATGAGAGACAAAGAAGGAAAGCAAGACTACAGGTGATTACTCCCCTTATCAAAACAACTTTGTGTATTTGGGGTTAGGGGCATATTTCAAATCCACCAATAATTTTTAGGAACCACTTTTTGTTATTTCCTGATGGAAAATCTAGACTTCCTCTTTTATTGAATACTGAGAGAAAGAATAGATTCTTAATTGGGTTGCCTTGGAATGACTTATTAGATAGGATTCAACTGTTGGAAGATGCTTGCTCCCTCACTTCTGTGTGAGAGTTGCTGTAATTCAGGGGTGGGGAACCTTTTTTCTGCCAAGGGCCTTTGGATATTTATAACATCATTCACAGGCCATACAAAAGTACCAACTTAAAAATTAGCTTGCTATATTTGGCCGAACCTTTAATTAACTCACCCCTTGTGCCTTGGCAGGGCCAGACCAAATGATTTCCCGTCCCTTGTATGGCCCTTGAGGGCTGGACATTCCCCACCCCTGCTATTTGAACCCAGAGGATGGCAGCTGAGGATGGGGCCTAGCTTGTTCTTATTCCTTCATTCAGTAACAAGTTCAATAAGGCACTGAAGTTCCTTGAGAAGAAATGAAAAAAGAGATGTATATGCTCCTGGCAGTTCCCTTCAAACCTCAGGTGATGCTGTTTAATTGATAAGTTGGACTTAATATGAGATTCAGAAATAAAGCAAGAAATAAAGATATGCTTAAGCTAACTTAAACCTATCATTTATTTCCCCATTGAGTTTAGCTGATTGCAAAGGTTGAAGTTTTACACATCGAAGTTGTTGAGGGTAGCCCACTCTCCTTCATTATGTGCAGAAAGATGTAGTAAGAGCAGCTCCTGCTGTCAGTGAGGGACAAGTGTGGTGTCATGTGGGAAAGAAGCAGCTCATAAACCCTTAGAGTGAACTTCACCTCAAGGACGCCTCTCATGGTGTCTGAATGGCTTTAATTACTGTGACCTTCTGGGTTCAGTCTGTTCTTCTCAAGGACGTTTGTCTTCCAGTGTTGCCCCCATTCTGTATCTGCTGCTTTCTGACCGAGCACGGAATAGAGTTAGAGTTTCGCTAGGGGCTTCAGCTCAGTCCCCAGGTTAATAGACAGGAGTCTCTCTTACCTTCAGAAATCGGATTGATTCATAGCACAGATCTGGCATCAAGGTGACGGGTTGCTTGCACTTCAATCTGTTACCTCAGAGTCACCATTTGTTCTGCGTTTCCTGTATCTGCATAAACCCTTTGACAGGTATAAGCAGAGAGAAAATGATCGATGCTGGAATAATACAGAGGGATTATATGCAGTGGTGCAGCTTTCACATTTTTAAAAAAATTAACAATTTTTAGAGCAGTCTTAGGTTTATTGCAGAGTTGAATGGAATTACAGAGTGCCTGTATGTTCCATGATATGTACCACATACCATGTACTTGTCCTTTCCCCCATAGTTTTCTCCTGCATATATATGGAATGTGGTACATTTGTTATAATCAATGAACTGAAATTGATACCTTATTATTAACTAAAATTCATAGTTTACATTAGGGTTCACTCTTTATGTTGGACATTCTGTGGTTTTGGACAAATGTATAATGACATGTATCCACCCTTACAGTGTCATACATAGTTTCACTGTCCTAAAAATCCTATCTGTACTTAACTCACCCCTCCTTCCCTCTCTCCCCTCCATTCATTGCTTCTGCTTCTCAAGAAAATGTTTTCTTATTCTTTGACTTTTCATTAATTACACAACTACAAAAAATAGTGAAAATTTTAAAAGGGGGGAAAGTCATCTTTCTCCCTAATAAGTTGTTCTTGTTTGCTCATATGTCTTCATGAATATACTAGAGGCCCAGTGCAGAAATCCGTGCACGGGTAGGGTCCCTAGTGGCTGCCAGCCGCCAGCCGGGGCCTCCCTTCCCCTGCTGCTGGCTGCTGGCCAGGGCCTTCCTTCATTCGCGCCACCCCCTGGTGGTCAGCACACATCATAGCGAGTGATGGAACTCCCAGTTGGTCGAACTCCCGAGGGGACACTTTGCATATTAGGCTTTTATATATAGATAGATACTTTATCCACGAGCATACATCACAGCATGGCATGAACAGTGCTGTGCCTCTTTCACTCGTCACTAGTTCATAAGCATGGGAATCAGCAGGGTTGGTGTTTCTAGCTGTGGTTTACACTTGTGCACAGATTGGTTCCCAGGAAACAAGGGGCCAATGTTGATATTGTAAGATAATAGAAAATATATGCAGGTGACATGGCCTCTCTATACAGAAACTTTCCTATGGATAATTGGGTTTTTCTTATCAAACTAAATACATCAGTGCCAGACCCTGTATCCTTTCTACCTAGGTTTATTCCCGAGCCCAACCTGCCTCCCCTGCTACTCTACGACTCAGCCTCTCTGCCTGCTGGCGCGGACCCACAGCAAGTGATCAATATCGACCAGCTTCGAGAGCAGCTCCCTGAGCTCCCCAGTGTGACCCGGGAGAAGCTCGTCCAGCAGTATGGGATGCTGCCGGAACACAGCCTCACCTTACTGGTAGGTGCTGATCAGAGGCTTGAATAAGCCCAGCTCAGCAGCAGTTGGGGAAGGCTGTACAGTGGGCTCTGATGGAGCGGGCGGATTGCCTCCGTTGTACGAAAGATGCTCCTGGGCAGAACAAGGCATGATAACCTTCGCTCACACCCCTTAATGATAACTGCGCCTCATCAAACCGGAGGTATAACCTCCGACCTCATGTCTCCTGTGTAGAAAGGAGCAGCTGCTCAGAGCAGCAGTGGAGGCTTCTTGAAGAGCAATGTTATGGGCGAGCGTTTTCCCCTGTGTCTGTAGGACAGAAGAAAATCCATGTATAGAGTTTCCAGCAGTATCGAACCATGACAGGGCCTGGCAGGAAGTTAGGTTCTCAAAACCCAGCCAGTTGTTTTACCAAGTATAGAAGAAAACATTTATTCTACACGACATGCTGAAAACTCTGACTAAAAATATCGGTCCTTTGAGGCTTGACGATGCGTCTGAAAGAGGCATGAGAGAATCTGACACCATTGAGGTCTGTGTAGGGATTTGCCCATCCTTTTCACGGCTACTTGGGGCTTTGCAGTCTTCTTCGTCATGGCAACATGAAAGTGATCCGGCACCAGTGAGTATAGCGTCCTGTCACAGTTGTCTTCTTGTCTGTCGGGGAGGAAGCAGAGCATTCTGTTGCTGCTTCTTTTAGGGACCAGGTGTATGCCACACTTATCTTTTGGGGCAGCAGAATCTATCGAAATTCTGGATTTTTGCAATTTAATTGACCAATAATAAATATCTGGGGATGTTAGGATATACACATTTCTATGTAAATTTATACAGTTCAGTAACAGCAACCAGCCATTTCTGATGCAAGGTAGGCAATCAAATGTTTGTTGAATGAATGATTTTTCTCTTTATTGTCTATAAATCAGTTAATTTGACAAGAATCTACAGTGTCATGTGAAAACTCCTTTTTTACTACCAATAATGATTAGGCATGATCTTTTTTTTTTTTTTTTCACTCCATAGGCATAGTTGAGCATTGTTTCTTTTAGGCTGCCTGTATATTTTACTCCTGCCTCTGTGGCCCCTATGTCGCTGCATTTTGATTATTTATTGGCGTGTCTTGCTCAGCACCTTGAAGGCAAGGACGGTTGCATCCTTACCCTCCCCGTCCCTCAGCACTGGTGAGCACAGCAGCAGTGCCTAAAGCCACATCTGTGTATGAGTCTGTTAGTCAGCATCTCGTACAGAACACCTTTCACTTGCATTTTTCCTGAGTTGATTTAACAGAACTGAGATTCAGTCTTTCACATATTCCCCACCATCTTGATCACTTGACTTTTCAGAAAAAAACTAAATTCCCAGAATAAAAACGAAATGCTAAATTTCCATCCTGCATTTTCTGACGTATTGCCAAATTCTGTAGGGGATTGGAGGACAAGGGCCAAAGCTACTCAACCTGCAGACATCAGTTATCTCTCACCACTTGGCGTCCTGCCAGGTGGACAGAGGCCACTACTGGAGGTAGTGAATGATGAACCTGGGTTTTTGGCCATGTTTTTTCCAAGACTGTGATTTCAGAGAAGAATCCACTTACTATTCTACTATTTGCGGGTATCAGCTTCTTCATGAGAGAAGTGAAAGGACCCTTCTGCATCTCCTCTCGAGACTATGGCTTATTCTCTGAGGCACTGTCTGAAAGCAGATGCTCCCTCCAGAGAGCATCTCCATAGGATTGTCACCCTCCGCCTCTGAGGAGCATGCTATGTGTTCTCCGAGGGCAGGACATTTTCATACTCCTGTTTGTGTCCCTGCCTCTCCTCGTGTGTCCTTCCTGGTGCTGGAACCCAGGAGTCCTTGAGTAAATGTTTGCTGAGGGGTGCCAAGTCTGTTTTCATAGTGGAAGGCCCCTTTAGGGAAACTTACCTTTGATCTGTTTAACTCAACACTTCATTAGCATCTCCTATGTAACAGGTACTGAGCCAGAGCCAAAGTTTCAAAAAAAGATGTTTTCTTTGCTTTCCAAGAGCTTATTTATGGGCACACACTACAGGTACCCAACCCCTGGGGCAGGTTGCATAATATAATGTATAATGTGGAAGGGAACCTGGAGGAGGTGGCGATTGCCTTGATTAGGACAAAAGGGGAAAACCTCAAGAAGATGATGATTTCTTGAGCCATTTTTGAAGGGACTCATTTTTTGATATCTTAAAAATATGCATATTTTTATAGCTTGAAAATAGCATGAGGTGATTTGGGTTTTTTAAGGGCTGTTACTTGAAATCTTCAAGATGGGGAAGAAGAGAACTTGATAGGAATGGAAAGAGAATGATTCAGACAAATTAGGCATCCTGAGCTCTTTATGACTTTGTAATCATTGGAAGCTGAGTTACTCATAACATATCCGACAATGATATGATCGTGTTTTTCTCTGCCTTCATCAGAAACACAACAGATTGCTGAGAAGGGCAGATGCACAAATCTAATGAACCATCTTTTCAATTTAAAGAGTGCCCAGGAGTATTCATTAAGTAAATAGCAGTGGTGGAGGTGTGCTTTGCAGAGCTTCAGCTGCATGCTCCCTGCCTTCCCGTTGCTTATTAAATTAAGCATTGAATACATACCCACCCCACACACATGCCTTACCCACAAATAATAACTTCAGAATTTAACTCTAGTCTTTAATTTATCTTGTCATTTTACTGTGAGATAAGCACTGAATTATTTATGGTTAACTTATCCTTGATATTTATAGAATTCCAGTATTGTATCTCAACATCCAGCCAATGGCTGCACATAGTAGGCACTCATTGGATATTTGTTCAGTGAGGGGAGGATGGATGAACAAATGCATGGGATACTAGAACAGGGTTCATGAAAGTCCCAGGAGAAGTAGTGTTTCTGGTAAAAGCACCCATTTCCAAAGGTCAGATGCATAAGCCACTCTTTTGACAACCAGCAAATTGTGGCATGATACCTGTGTCACTGAACTCTGGTGAGGAGAACTGGATTGCCACTTCATGCCACCTGAGACAGGTAGAAGTCACTTGGTCTCTCTGACTCATTTTTTGAACTGGTTTCATTAGGACATGAAATCAAGTCTACATTCTGATTTTCTCCTTTAAAGCCCCCTGATATTCCCCTCCCAACAGAAACCTGTCTTACTTTTTAGGTGACTGGAGGAAAAAATAGTATCTTGCTCCACCAGAAACTTTACCCTAGTTAGCTAACCTTGCTTGCCTAACTTAGGTCAAACTGCCTTGATTTCTGACCTCATTTGTAAGGACTCAGGAGTAGAAATGTGGAAGCTGAGATTCAGGTATTAGAAAAGGAAAGTTCTAATAGCATAGCAAGCCTTTCTCTGAGTCAGTATATCCAAGAGTAATTATTAGAATGATCGAGATTATATGCATGTGCATTTTTCTTGGCAAACAATCCCAGGATGATCTCTATGGGGGCATCTCTTCCTAAACTCTGCCTTCCCTGACTCAGCGAATGCAAACAAATTGCAGTCATCTGCCTAAGCAGCACATAAAGTAGGCTGTTCACTTACAGTCCAGTCTGCATTTTACAGCGGCCCACTTTTTAATCTACCCCACAACATCCCTCTTAGGTGCATAGAGTTGTTCCACCCATTCTACAAGTGAGGAGACATCACCTCTGTGGCTGAGTATAAAGCATTAAGTAACTTTCCCAAGCCTGTGGGGGAGCCAGGGTCAGACCGGGGTCAGACCAGCTGACTTCAGGGCCCAGGCTCTTCATCTGTAAGCCCTACTGCCTGCCTGTACGCATAATGTGCCACATGCAAATAGAGATAATGTTTCAAGTTGTTTGCAGTTTTAGATCACTTAATAGAGAAAATAGAATTTTTACTCTTGTCAGCATTAATACTGTGTCAGTCCCACTAAAGCTTCATGAAGCACAGTCATAAAACATCAGTTCATTTCAAACTTTGACCACCCCTCTTGTTTTTCAAGATAATAAATAGAAAGTGCTGTCTACTAAGTTTAGTGAAAATCAGTCAACTCCAAAGAAAAGCAGAAAGTATGTCCACTTTTCAAGTAGAAAGCTTCAGTCAGAATAGAAATGCAAGCTTTCCTATGCAGCTCTATTTGTTTTCTAAACTTTCTGCATTAGGTACTTGGCTCCTTCTGACTGAATCATCAAGAAGGGTCCAGGTAGGGCCAAGTGTATGGGGCTTGTGGATTTTGTGGGATGATCTTGCCTAGAGCCTCAAGTTACGCAGCTCGGCCATGTGAGGAATGATACAAAGTCACGGTGACTGGCTGTGAATGAAATTGATAGGCAGAAAAATTTCAGGCTCCTCTGTTGTGGGAGGAATGGTATAACATCCCCAACTTAGTGTTTTTTGAGAGCCTGCTGTACTTGTCACATTCCCTTGCTGTTGTCAACCGAGAGCTTTTATCTTTTCCATGTTGCTTTTAACTCCTGGGTAGCCCTACAAGGCAGTAGATTAAAACACCAACTAAGAGACAGACAGTCTTGATTCTAGGTCTCCTGTCTGACACTAGGAGCTGGGAGGGTTCTACAGAGGTAACTGGAGCTGAAAGAGGAAGGGGATGACTTGCTTACCCCGAAGATGATAGACACAGCAGAACCTCACTGAATCTTAAAAAAAAAAAAAAAAAAAAAAAGTCTAAATACAGCCAAGCAAACTCCCAAGGATATGCTGCCAGAGCAAAGAATGCTGCTAACACACTGAGAACCATGCAGGGCAGATGCCAAGAAAAGCCCAGCATGGCCCAGGGAGGCTGTAGGAAAACATGATGGGGCCATTCACATCGGGGGCCTGTGCTGCCACACATGTGTGCCTGTCCTCGTATGCATCCTCAAGATGTGTAGGAGTCTTTAAACAACTTCATTTTCCCCAGCTGGTTATTCCCCGTTTAAAGTCATAATCCTTTGTTTCTGACATCATAGAAAAGGTTAAGGTGTCTCCAAGGGACAAAGAAACAGCAGTGATATCATGACTATGGTGAATTGTTAAATGGATTGTTTTCCAAGAATTTTGTTTTGAGTCTCTAGTAAGCTTGAAATGGCCTGGTTTTCTTTCTGGATAAATTGCCTATAAAATAATTTCCCTTGGTAAATGTCTGTATATTCCATAGGCAGTGCTACTTTAAAGCTAATAGTTTGAAAAAGCATCTGAAACCATATTGACTGGTTTTAGACTGCCCAAACTTACGAGGAGCAAATACTCACCCTCTAACTCCTGATGAAGGAAATTTCATTTGCTCAACATTGTCACCCACCATGTTTCAGCTCCGTGCAATTTTCGAAATTGATTTAATTCTTCATCTTAAAACATCGCATCCAGTGCTTGCCAGTTTTGGGTGCTTTCACAGTTAGTCTATGCACTGTGAAAAATAACCAATATTTTGTTCTGGTAAAGTTGAATAAAAAGATGTATCTTCCACACAGCCAGCATGGGTCAGTGGTTGAGCATTGACCTATGAACCAGGAGGTCACGTTTCGATTACCAGTCAGGGCATATGCCCAGGTTGCGGGCTCGATCCTCAGTGTGGGTGTGCAGGAGGCAGCCGATCAATGGTTCTCTCTCATTATTCATGTTTCTATCTCTCTCTTCCTCTCCCTTCCTCTATGAAGTAAATAAATCGATACATATTTTAAAAAGATGCATTTTCTAACTTCACTCCCTGCAAAACCAGCAGTTCATTTCAGATGTAAGTGATAGGGCTTCCATAGATAAGGACCTGGGCTCAGAGACATTTGATCCTCAAGGACTGCCCACTGGGGCAAAGTGCAGGGAGGAGTGAAGGTCCCGAGTGCCCAACCTCGGGAACTCGGGTGCTCTGTCCTTAATCCATTCTGAAGCCTGATTTCCTGTTTGTGCAATAATTTCCTTTGGGGGCAGTAAACAGAAGGCTGCTGTTCAGTAGCACAGACTCCCTCCATTTGGGCCCACTGGGCAACAGTGACTTTAAGGACATTGAAATGTGATTACAGTCAGAATTGATTGCTCAACAACATGGTTTTGTGTCCCATTCTTGCAGATGTAGTCATCTAATTATGCCTGTCTGATGTCGATTTTTATTTCCTGAATTACAGAGATTTTGATTATACAAGGGCAAGTCTTATTTCCAAGTTGGTTTCCCTCAACATCTCTCTTAGAGTTGATGCATCTCAGAGAATATAAACTTATTTTCACATTAGGCTGAGCCAGCTATAGGTGAGAACACTTCCTGAGTAGAACCCGGACTCTGAGTTGAACTCAGATATGTATACTCTCCAGCTTTGCTGGGAACAGAGCACAAGTGAAATGTTGGGATCAGAGTTTTGCTCAGATTTTAGGGGTCCCCAAGCCCTGCTGGGAACATCACTTGGGGGTGGAAATTGTGGGGACCAAAAGAAGACTAGAACTCCCTAGTTGTGTATTCCTTGAGACAGACTAGAGGCTATAGCTATACCCTGTTTCTGGGTCAGTTTCAGAACTAGAGATCCCTATATTCTTTTTTTTTTTTTTTAAATATATTTTATTGATTTTTTACAGAGAGGAAGGGAGAGAGATAGTTAGAAACATCGATGAGAGAGAAACATCGATCAGCTGCCTCCTGCACATCTCCTACTAGGGATACGCCCGCAACCCAGGTACATGCCCTTGACCGGAATCGAACCTGGGACCTTTCAGTCCGCAGGCCGACGCTCTATCCACTGAGCCAAACCGGTTTCGGCAGAGATCCCTATATTCTTGAAAGTGGCAATGATAATTCAGGATTCTGGCTTCCTTCTTACATACTCACGTGGAAAATGGTATCCCCTAAGCCAACCTCACACCACCAATTGACTGCCTTTTGTTTTTCCCCACTGAAGACTCCAGGATGAGTTTTTTTTCTTTTCTGTTCACTCGCTGAAAGATGTCTGCAGTCAGTTCTTGTTTCCATGAAAAGCAGAGGGTGGATTCATTCACAGCACAGATCCAAGTCGCCGCCCCACTGTACATTGCAGTCCTTAATCTGGCCATGACTTCTGCTTCCTGCCCTGGAACCACCACTCTGTCCCCTTACCTAATTTCCATTTCCATCCCAACACTAACGTGTTATTTCCTGGGCCATTCTTCACAGAGTTGGTGGGTGTGTTCTGTTTTTCTCACGTTGTAAGAATGGCCAGATTCACAGGGAAATGAGGGAACTGCAGAGCCCCCATGGATATGTACATGCTAGGTATCTCCAGAAATGCTCAGCGGCTGCTCATCCCAACACCCCTGCCAAATGGTCGATGCACTTCATGTTTGCACCTCCACAAAATGATACATCCGCCATGCGAGAGCCTCGCCCAGTTGAAGCCACTGTTGCTCGGTCCCTAGAAGTGGGGCATCCTGTACAATCTGCCACTCCCACTATAGGCACGATCTGCCCAGTTAGGTATAAACCCACAAATGAGGTTTTTTTACCCATAGTAAAGGAGTTAGAATGCAATTACGTACAATACACTTAATATCAAAACTATAGGAGTGATAATGGAATTTATTTTGTAATGTGGGGAGGTATTTCAGAATTGGACATTGTCTTTGTTTGGATGTACTCACTGTAACTTCTCTCAGGAGAGGGTGAGGAGGGGATGCAGAAGAGAAGTTGGGGGAGCTCTGGCTGCTGTGGAGTGGGAGACACTGTCTTCCTCTGTGATCTGGGAACAGGTGTGCTTCATGCCACAGCAGAGAGTGCCACGTGGTCATACACTGGCAAAGGCAGAACGTGAACTTCCCATTTTCTAAGCTAATTGCCAAGGGCCTTTGTAACATTCTTAATATGTTAAGAACCTTAAACAGCTGGCTGGTATCAAATAAAACAATGGAAGTGGTGGGAAAGATCATTCTTTTGATGAACAAGTTGCTTCACATTGTGCCTAGCACTGGTGCTCGGTCTCAGTCCCCAGGAAGGCAAGGACATGCCTTTTCCTTCATCAGAGGCAGTGGAGCATGGATGTTGAAATCCCAACTCTACCACTTTCATGCTGTGTGACCTCTGGCTAACAAGTTAGTGCTTCAGTGTCCCCATTTGTAAAAGAGAATTCTGCTACTTGCCTCGTAGTGTCATTGTTGGAATTAAACGAGTTAATGTAAAGCACCTAAAACAGTGCCTGACACCTATTATTGCTGTTAAAATGTATTATTATTATTAATTATTATTAATATCACTAGCAGCAGCTATGTGTCTGTCTGCTGATCTCCGTGTCTCCCGAGTCTTCTAGAAATACTCCTGAGAGCCTTTTAACTGCTTGGAACTGCTAATCTGGGGTCGCCTTGCTGCCGGGTCATCCAGCCACATAACCAGCTGTTCCTCAAATTTTACTTTGTGGGCTTTCTTCTCTGAATCTGCTGCTGGGCAGCTGTCTTTATCTGGTTTCATCCAACTTCTAAATATAGTCCTGTCTGTCATCAGGTTCCCTGGGTGTGGCAGTTGAGAATCAGCCTTCATCTTATTCCAACTGGATGTTCTGACATTTTATCATTTCTGAAGGCAGAATGTAACACACAGCTTTGGGGCACATTCCTTCCAGGGCCTGATGCAAGGGTAAATCGGAGTTCCTTCCTAGAGCTGGCAATGAGGCGGGCGATTGATCCCCTGCTTTGCCTCACACCAGCATTGACCAGCTGACAGGCCCATTAACAGTGGAGGGTTCCCGCTAGTGTCTAAGAGCTGACCTGGCATTAGTTCTGGTGTAATTGAATGCTTTGGGAAATTTGATTAAAATGTGAAAAGGATGCTTCCCGGCACAGAGCTGTAAAGACAGGCTGGTATTATCCAAAAGACAGGACCAGTTGTTCCTGCTGCTTTAGCGATCTCTGAAGGGACAGTTGGCCAGGAGACCTGGCGCACTGTGTCATGAAGTTTAGCTCTGCCTGATGGAGAGAGTAGTGATGAGTTGAAGGCTTGCTTGTTGCCTTTGAAAAGGACCTTATGAGTCCCCTAATGCAGTGGCCTTTCTGCCTTGCTCTTAATACAGTTCTTATATAAGGGAATTACTGGCCCACTGTTTTTCTGAGAAAACCAGATGCCACATTCACTACAGACTTCTGAGATTTGTGTCAGGCTTAGTATTTGCCTGTCTCACAGAAAAACTAAGAAGATGTTACCTAGAATATTTTGTGTTTGTTTTTTTGTGTGTGTTTTTCCTGAAAAGCCGGCTTCTGATCTGAAGAACCAAAGCAGACACCCATATGTCACTTTTTATTGATCGATTGTTCTTCAGCCCTCTGTCTGTAGCTCACCAGGTCACGATCACAGATTTTCATGTGCATTTCCGATTATGTGCGGAAACCATGGACTCCCCAGTGGAGTACAGTTTCAGCTTGGAGAGGCTTCATCACAGCACTGATACAAAAAGACAAACAGAAATCTGACTTGCCATGTTATCCATCCAATAAAAAACCACCCAAGGGGAGAGGAATGGATATTCATCATGTCCCAGCAACTCAGCCAAGCCTGCAAGTTTAAGGACAATATTTCTAGGTGAATTTAGAAAACCTTTCTTTGGCAAAGCTGAGAGTTCTCCTGACAGCTCTTTTCCCCAGCAGCCAACCCGTCTGGGATAGAACAAAGAGAGTACTACCCACCTGATTTGGGCTGGATAGCGGTTTCTACTTCCCCAGCGATTTGTGTAGCATTGTGGAGGTTTGAATACTTTTCCATAAGTTAAGCAGACCTTCCTCTTCATGCTGCCTGCTTTTGCTTTTATCTGTAGTCAAGCGTTGGCTGCTGAGGTGGCCTCTGCCCTGTTTTAGCATGAGCAGAATAGCAGCATTGGCTTGAAAAGAGATTCAAGAGATGATTATGGGATTATTCAGTTGATTTATCACCAGAGAATTTATCTGTTACAAAGGTCACATAGATTTTTTGTTGTTGTTATGGAATTTCTACCTTAGCAACTGTCCCTGTGTGTATATTACAGCATCTGCAATAACTAAATTTCTAGAGCACTTTTGTTACTATGTCTTGCTTCTTCCTAGTATCTAATTTTTTCCAGAAAGTTCTTTTGTTTAATGAAGGTTCGGTGAAAGAGGTGAGGGTGAGAGACTTACCTGTAGTATGAAGCTGAAAAGCTATATTTTAAGGAAAGAGTGGTTTGATTTGAATTTCAGCAGGTTGGGGAAATCTAGTACTTAAAATGTGTCTCCTCTGCATTCGGAAACGTCAGCTTCCCCTGTGCAAGTGGGATATGTTTTTATTTTTCTTACTAAAAACAAAGGGTGGACTTAGCCAGGTTTCCTGGTCCTGCCAAATTGATCTGAGCTGGAAGTTAGCTATGGTGCATAACTTGATATGTGCCTTGGGATTATTCTATGCATACTAGTGGCAATTCTGATATTTAAAGGTAAACATGGTATGCTAAAGAATGAATGTATGAATGTTAACATCTGATTTTGAAAAAATACACATGGTGCTGGTAGACATTGATTCCATCCACCAATACTTACCAAGTAGCTGCCATGGCCCAGCACTGACTTAGCTCTAGTTACAGAGTGAACAGGACAGCATGGCCCCTGACTCATGGAGTTGACGGTCCAGGCGGGGGTGGGGGCGGGGGGAGAGACAGTAGAGTCTTCTTCAAATAAGATTCCTTGATGAGTCAACCCAGCTTATTGCTTTCATGGAGCAGGATGACAGGCAGGGCCAGCTGAGCCTAGCTTGCTTGGTTCAGAAGACGTAGAAACTGCTGTTCCCTCCACTGGTTATGTGGTCTAAGTGGGTCACGTGTACCTGTGTTCTTCCTCATTTTGAAAACCACTCAGTCACCTCTTGGGATGATGTAAAGATGGATACAGTTACAATCCACTTTTGGTTTCTCAGAAATAGAATATTCTGTTTGTTTCTTCTTGATTTGCTTTTCTTACCTTGTTATTCTAGCAATCACTAGGACTTCCAGCAGAGGAAAGGACTGGAAAAAGACACGACAGTAAACTCAGGCTGAACATTGTGGGCCCAAGGATCAAGGATACAGAGTACACAGGCTGACATTGTGAGGGCAAGCAAGTTTGGGGGTTGGGGGATTTCACTGTCCTCTGGTCCATAAAGTGAGGGCTGTGAAATATGTTCATTCCTTCAAGGAAGTGCTATATAAATGCATGGTGACAGTAGCAGAATACTTGCTATTTACTGAAAGTGATCAGGATTTTCTGGTGACATCTCCATATTTAGGAAATTGTCTCAGAGGGTGGCAGTTTGATTTGTCTTCAGAATGCTGATCTTTTACTTTTGGGGAGGTTTTATACATTTTTTTTTTTTTCTTTACAGAATGAAGTTGGCCTACTGGAGTTCTTCCAAAATGTGATGAAAGAAACTAGGGCAGAGCCCAAAAAAGTGACTAGTTGGGTCCTCAACACTTTCCTGGGTTTTTTAAAGCAACAGAACCTTGCTGTCAGTGAGAGGTGAGTGGGGTCTAGGGATTTCTTCTTGTTTTGAGATGAACTCTTTGTCCAGGAGCAGTTGAAATAGGGCAGGACCAGTGTTTTACTCTTCCTGTTCTCCTCAGTATATACTGACAAGACACAAACATCCCCTGGGAATTCCAAATTCTAAAGCTTTTCTTATGAAAACTCTGACTGTCTACAATGTCCTCTGTACTGTGGATGAATAGAACAAGGAGTTTGCAAGGTTGAGGGGCTACAGAACTATAAGAAGACAGACAGTGGGAGATCAAGATGGTGGCAGAGTAGGTGGATGTTACACTCACCTCCCTGGACCAAACTGAATTAGAACTAAAATATACAATAGTCAGCCAGAATAACCAACTGAAGACTAGCTGAAGAGAAGTCTTATAGCCAAGGATTTACAGAAGAAGCCACATCGAGACTGGTAGGAAGAGCAGAGATGTGAAAAGAGCTGGCCCCGCTCCCACAGGCAGTGGCTGAGATTCTGGAGGGATATCTCAGCTGCAAAAGTTCCCACTGAGAAGCATGGCTCCAAAGTCAGGAAGAGGCACCCACATAATACCTGGCTGTGAAAATTATCAGGGATTTTGTCCGCTGGGGAGAGACAGCAGTCTGCTAGAGACACAAGTGCCCTCTTAAAGAGCCAGTGCACAAAAATGTCATTTGCAGCCACTCACCTTGGGCTCCATAAGAGGGAGGGCACAGCAGACTAGAGTTATGTGAAGGAACAGCCTCTAGGATCCCTCTGCTGAGTTATTCTCCCACACCACAGACACCATCTTTCTTGGGTGGAATACTCCCCTCCTTACAGAATCCCCCAACCTTGATCAGCACCTTCCCCTCATGAGAGATACACTAGCCCCATCCTTCCAACTCCCAGCAGTCCCACCCTGCTGAGTCGGGCTCTTGGCAGAATCTGGACAGACTGAGCCGTGTAGTTCTAGGACAAGGGACTCTTCCCTCGACCAATGGGGAGCCCTCCCTTCACATGGCTGAATCATGGGACTGATAAACTCTGCTGGCCTTACCCTGATGATTTCCTGAGACTCCACCCACTACAAAGATGTGCGAGCACCCAGTAGGTGGCACACTTAACTTGGTATACCTAGGGACCTTTCCTGAGTGGCCTCAAACCCATTACTGGCACCGAGTTTGAACCTCAGTCTGGTGAATACCACTTACCCCTACTTGAGGACTCGCTGAGAACCTACCTCATGCACCTCGAGTACCGCCAGAGGCTATTTTAGTAACTGAGCCTGACAGGCAGCCAGCAGATGGAGGCAGATTGAGGTGGATCTTAGGGTACAATTGGACTTTTGCTGACCTGCCCCTGGGCCTGGTGCTGGTAAAAGCCGGCCTTTGCGCAGCTTGATCCTTCCCACACATACCCAGGCCCAGCAGAGGCAGCCACAAATTGTGGATCGCTTTGTAGTTCCAATCTGGTTGCCTATGGTCAGTCATAGCAACGTCTGACATTGGCCTGCACCAGGGTCCTTCCCAAGAGGCCCCAGAACAATATACCCAGGGGCTAGCTTAAGACAGCATCAGAGCGGGATCCAATAAACTTCACAAGTGGCATATCCAAAGGAGATCTCAGCAGGCACTAGACGCTAAGGTGAATTCTGCTTCCTGTGGTCAGCACCTGCACAACAGCTCAGACACTATGATACAGGTCAGTCCTCACTGTCGGCCAGCCAGAGGGTTGACCCAACGCATAGGCCATAGCAATCAAAGACTCAATTACAACAGCAGGGCCCACATAAAACATATAAGGAGACATTCCTGGAGCACCCAGTTGAGGTGGTCAAGGAGATTGTGCCACTGGGTCCCACAGGACACCCACTACTTACATCCATCCTACCAAGAGTGGGAGTCATAACAGATCTACCTACCATAGAGAAACAGAGTCAGCCAAAGTGAGGAGAAAATAAACATGCCCCAAATGAAAAAATAGGATAAATCTCCAGAAAAACGAGCTAAATGAAATGGAGGCAAACAATTTTTCAGGTATAGAATTTTTTAAAAAAGATTATAAGGCTGCTCAAGGAACTTAGTGAGAAATACAACAACATGAAAAAGGACATAGAAACCATTATAAAAAAACAAGTCAGAAATGAAGAATACAATAGAAGGAATAAACAGTAGGTTGAATGAAGCAGAGGACTGAATCGGTTATTTGGGAGACCCAGTAGAGGAAAACATCCTATTAAGTCAGCAAAAGGATAAAATAACTTTAAAAAATGAAGATAGCTTAAGGGACCTTTGGGACAACATGGAGTGTAACTACATCTGCATTAATAGGGGTACCAGAAAGAGAAGAGAGAGAGCAAGGGATCAAGAACCTATTTAAAGAAATAATGACTGAAAACTTCCCTAGCCTGGTGAAGGACAGACATCTGCCTCATGGGGATAACCAACAGGCAGTCAGACATATGGATCTACTCCTGACAGATATATGGGAGGTATAAATCTGAGCATTCTCATGCATTCACTGTTGAGCACATGTTAACTTAGACTCTGGTAAGCCTGAGAAGACTAGTCAGCACGACAGACGCAGTCCCTGCTTTCAGAGCTCATGGGCCAGAAGCTGGTGATTACAAAGCAGTGAGTTAGATGCTCTGAGAAGGGAAACTAACAGCTAAGCCAAGACCTGAGCGAGGATGAGTAGGGTTAGTCAGGCAAAGTCCAGGGGTAAAAGTGTTCAGGCACAGGGAGCAACATGTGGAAAAGTCTTGAATAAGTCTGAGCATGGCACTTGTAGAAATGCAAATACATAGTCAGGTGTAAGTGGAACGTGGACTGGGCAGCATAGAGAAGGTACATGGAGTTGTGGGGACAGATGAGAACTGTCAGGGAGGTGGCCGATGAGGAACCTGAGACTCTGGACTTGAACTGAGAAGCATGGGCAGCAAAGAAGGAGAAAAGCCAGGGGAGAGCTGGTGTCACAGATGCCCCCAAAAAAGGAGTTTCAAGAAGAAAAGAATGAGCAGCAGGGTTAAATGTGAAGAGTCGGGAAGAGAGAGTTCATTAGGGACACAGAGGCAGATTGTACGACCCTGACAAGTTCCTAGCCCCAGTGGAGCCCGGTCTTGGTGGGTGTGTCATTGTCTCAGTATCCATTGCTGTGGAGAAATACAGTGGAAAGATGGGCATATATATTGGTATACTGTTCCAAAAGTTGTTTGCTCAAAGGCGTGAACTCTCTACAATGCCAACTTGAGGTCCAGTCTCTTGCTCACATGTGTATATGCATGTATGAATGTGGGGTCAGTGCACTTCCCTCCGGAGCTACTTGTCAGCAGTGACGCTGAAGGAGCTCCCCCCTCTGACCCTGTTTCCTCACTGTCAAAAAAAAAGGCCATACCTGCCTCCAAGAGTTTTGAGAGGAAAGTACACAGTGCCTGGCACAGAACGGGCTCTCAGTGTTAGCTCCCTTCTCTTTGCCGTCTAGGTGTATTAGGTGCCAAAGCAATGGCCACCCTCAGTCTCCTCCACACCTATCCATCTGTTGCCTTTTTGTCTTAAAACAAGGGTGAGGAACCTTTTCTTCTGCCAAGGGCTATTTATAACATCATTCTCTTAATATAATTTACTTAATATAAATGTATGCTGCTATGAAAAAAGCTCCTAGGTTTATTGAATTTCGACTTCCACCTGCTGCTACCTGGGCATGGCCAGACCAAATGATATCACAGGGCCTTATACGGCCCATGGGCTGGACATTCCCCACCCCTGCCTTTAAAGGATGGACAGGATTTGGTGAGGGAGAGGGGCTGCTTGACACCAGTGGGAAGCCAAGGTGTGGAAACGGAAACAAGCTGGCATGTTTTTGGACCAGGGAGGAGCATAGCTGGTAGGAGCAGAGGGTGGAAAATGTCAGAAAAGTACAGTTAACTGTATCATTGGAGCAGAACCAGAATATGTAGGGTGTGGGAACTCACATGGGTCTCTGCAGTGTGTGGAGAGAGAAACAGGACCCCATCCAGGCCCTAGTTTAAAGCAGAATGGGGTGCTTCCTGTTTTAGACCTCTGCACAGTGCAGTGGGAGCAGAGAGGAGGGAGATGGTGTTAGCCAGGGGACGCCAGAAGACCTGCAAGATGTGGTGTGAGCTTTTGGAGAAAATGCAGATTTTAGCTATGAATTTATGGTTTCAATATTGTTGGCTGTGCTCCCTGAATTTTAGTACTGGTAGAGACCTTAGATATCCTTTGGTCTGGCTTCTTCATTTAGCACATGGGGAAATGGAGGGCCTAATCCAGTGATGGTGAACCTATGACACGCATGTCAGAGATGACATGCGAACTCATTTTTTTGGTTAATTTTTCTTTGTTAAATGTCATTTAAATATATAAAATAAATATCAAAAATATAAATCTTTGTTTTACTATGGTTGCAAATATCAAAAAATTTCTATATGTGACACGGCACCAGAGTTAAGTTAGGGTTTTTCAAAATGCTGACACGCTGAGCTCAAAAGGTTCACCATCTCTGCAATCCGTAAGGTTATGTTGCAACCTGCTAAGATTGGAAGCCACATCCCCTGACTTTCAGGCCAGTTTCTTTTTATGTTGGTCTGTGAAATTAGGGGTTTGCTTAATGTGTTGGTAGCTTCAAAAGGAACTGAGGTTGATAAATGAGCCTATTTAGTGAAGTTGGAGCTCCTGGTATTTATCCAAACAATTCATAAGCACTAGAGTTTTAAGAACTGAAAGGGTACCCAATTAGAAATAATAAAAGTATACAGTTGACCCTTGAACAACCCAGGTTTGAACTGTGCTGGTCCAGTTATACACGTAAATTTTTTTCAATTAATACTGTAAATGTATTTTCTTTTCCTTATAATTTTCTTAATATACTATTTAGCTTACTTTATTATAAGAATATGTATAACATACAAAATATGTGCTAATCGACTGTTCATGTTATTGATAAAGCTTCCACTCAACAATAGGCTATTAGTTAAGTTTGGGGAAGTTGGGTTATTAGTTAAGTGGATTTTAGATGCACTTGCAGTCGGCGCCCTAAACCTGGCATTGTTCAAGGGTCGACTGTATTTGGTTGTTCTAAAATCAGGTAAAGAGGAAGCTAAACAACAGTTCTGTTTTATTTTGTATGAAAACAAGCACTGAGGAGCCCAGACCCAGCTGGAACAGCTCTCTTCCTATACCTTCCAAAGACCTGCTAGCTGGTCTGGTTTGCCAGTTGGCCCTTGGGACAAACACTAATGAACAACCTTAGCCACTAGGGTGAACGTTCCCAACACTTAGAACAGCAGTACTGCTAAGCTCACAATAGTCCCATGATGACACCTGCAAGGAACACTCTAGAGATAAGGTGGCAGAGACAGATTTTATAAATTAGCATCCATCTTTGTAGACCTCTCAGAGTTCTTAGAGGATATCTAAGGCCCCTGGCATTTAAAGGATCCAACCAGAAAAGCTCTTTTTAAACATGGCTTTTTAATTACTTCGGGTATATTACTTTTAAAGTTGTTAATATCTAATTCTAAATTACTGTTAATAACAGGTTGGATTTCATTAAGAAAGTGGAAATGACATATTCCCTGAGCAAGCATTTCTTGGTAAAGCCCAGTTGTCCAGCCCAGTGGAGTCCCGAACTCCCAGGCCAGCCATGGCAGTAGTTCCTAAGGCTCTAAGGAGCCAGGGAATGTTTCGGGCCGAGAAGGGACTGATCGTGACAGGAAGATTAGTCCAGCAGCATGATATGTGGATGGCATTAATAATGGGGCTGTGGAGGTTGGGAGCCCATTAGAGGTCATGTGGCAGGCCTGATTTTATAGCCTGTGAGCTAGGACTGGTTATTACTTTAAACAATATATATTTTTTATTGATTTCAGAGAGGAAGGGATAGGGAGAGAGATAGAAACATCAATAATGAGAGAGAATCATTGAATGGCTGCTTGCTACGTGTCCCCTACTGGGGCTCTGAGCCCACAACCTGGGCATGTGCCCTGACCAGGAATTGAACCATGACCTCCTGGTTCTTGGGTCAGCGCTCAACCACTGAGCCTCACTGGCCAGGCAGAAGGCATTTTCATGATAGGGAAGATCTCAGCATTAAAGCACAAGAGAGAGGAAGTAGGTGTCTGAGTGAGTCTGAATCTTAGGAATGGAGGGGGATGGGGTTAAGAGTATGGGCCGAGGGGGTTGTTTGATGAAATAGGAGGAGGGCTCCCTTGAAAATTCTGAGTCTTTCATCAGCTGATGTCCTTATGAAGTGGGAGGGGAGGGTCTTTGACGAGAGGGGTTTGGGAAGGAGACTGTGAGAACAGTCTGGTTGCTATGAAGTTAGAGAGATAAAAGGACTGTTGAGCAGAAAGAGCCCCTGGATGTCCAAGTCCCAAGTCTTCCTCCAGGAGCTCTTGCATCTGCAGAAGGTGGACTTTGGGCCTAAAATGAGCTTTGGGATTGAGATGGTCAGCACATTTCTCAAGTACAGCTTGGCTGGATCATGGTTGAGAGGTGTCAGGTATCTATTGCCACAATCCAAGCTGGTGATGGAGTTGTGATCCTAAAAGAGCTCCAAAGTTGTGGATGAAGTTGGGAGAGGTAACATACCCCATCTCCCCAGCTCTGTAGATACTTTGGCCTTGGGGGATTGGAAGCAAGCACAGAAAGCTTAAGCCTTCAGTGTAAGCTAATACTTGCCTGAGACGCATTTACTGTCCAGAAAATGGTATTATCTGACAGCAGCGAGTTAGTAGTTGTGCTTCTGTTGCCATTATGTTCCATATTGATGGTATAGTTATTTATCTGGTGAGTGGAGTCCTTAAGGGTGAGACAGGAACTGATCTTTGTCATCCTCTTACTCGAGGTTAGCCCTGGTGTATCTGGAATTGGTATACCCAGTATACCAGATACCCCCGTTGTGGGGAAGAATTCTATGACACACATATTATTGACCTACTATGTGTCAAGCATTGTGGGTGTAAAAAGACGATTGAGAAATCCAAAGTGCTGTTAGGTCAGTGGAGGTGTTTTATAGTATAAATTTATCACCTACGTTATGAATTAAGGTCATTAGGTGAAAGGCAAAGTATTTTTAGTTGTGTTCTGTTTCTGTCCTTCTCTGTCCCAGCATCCCTTATATCCTGGACTCATATGGGAGTAGAGACCCCGTTTTTTTGTGTGTGTGTTTTTTTGCATGCCAACAGGTGGTCCGCAGACCACTGGTGGTCTGTGAGGTCCGGAAGGTTGGCGACCACTGTTCTAGAAATCCAGTTCCACCTCGATGCTGATTGTGGTTCTGCACAGACTAATTGGCTGTTGTATTTTCTAGGATTGCAGAGCATCCCAGAAACCCGATTCTGAATGACCAGTCAGTAAGAGTGGGAGGTTGGCAAAAGCTTATTTCCCAGTCCTCTGCCCCTCTTCCTGTTGAGATTTAATCAGGGGGCTTCACAGATGTTCCAGATGCCAACTAATAACATCAGGCACTCTCCAAACCTAATTTCAACAGGAGTCACCTTTATCCATATGTACTTTGGGATAAACAAACACTTGAAGGCTGATGTCTGCCTCCATGTGTTAACTGCTTTCAATGAACAATCCTAATGCTGTTTCACTGTACTTGCATCAGACTGCACAGTAAGGCACACCAGGTTAACTTGCATTCGCTTGGTCTGAAATTCATGGAAATTGGCAGACGCTAAAAGGCAGTTTTCTTTTTATTATCTAAGAGCTTATGAAGAAATTAATAGCGAATGATGGCAACCGAGACTCAAACAGAAGGTGTTTTCAAGTGGCATTAAGCATTTCAGAAGCTTTCATTTACCCCCACAGGCTACCTGCTGTTTATAAGCTGTCCCACCCATTTAAAACTAGCCCCTGATGACCTCAGGTAGACGGGTTTAATTAGCCTAGTTCAGTGGTCGGCAAACTGCGGCTTGCAAGCCACATGCGGCTCTTTGGCCCCTTGAGTGTGGCTCTTCCACAAAATACCGACTTCTGCGCATGGGCCACAAAGTTTCAATTGCACTGTACATGCGTGCCCGCTCGTGGTATTTTGTGGAAGAGCCACATTCAAGGGGCCAAAGAGCTGCATTTGGCTCGCAAGCCGCAGTTTGCCGACCACTGGCCTAGTTACTGTGTTTGGAAGTAGCAAAACCATATATTTTAAAAGAAATCTGTGATTCAATTTTGTTTTTTCAGTAATCTAGGCACTCATACCCCCTCACCCCAACTCCTACCCCTAAGTGTGAAATAATGACACTTTATGTGTTTGTTTGGTCCTTGGCCTTCTGTATCACAGCATCTTGGTAAATAAGTCATGTCCTAGACGTATAGATAATGAATTCTAAGCCCTGTGTGTCCAGAAAGCTGTTGTGAGCCTTCAGGAGAGAACAGTTTATGAAGATGCCCATAAGGATGGATAAAGAAGTGGTGGGTAGTCATTGCATTCCCATAAAGAAAAGCTCTCATACTCAAAAATAATATATCTTTCCACAGAAACTCTCAAAATGTGGCTTTGTTAGCTGTTTTGTTTGAAGTAATTTTTAGGCTGATCTTTCTGTTGAAAATACTTAATTACTGGGATTGTTGTTGTTTTTTCTTTCTTCATCATGGTTCATGAATTTTGCAGCCACCTCCTTTCTTTGACTAATTAAACTGAGCAATTGTCTGTTGCTACAACTTCTGCCAAACAGCTGTTATTGTTGAGTGGTAAAACAAAGAAAAACAACACTAGTCACAAAAATTTGTTATATCTTAAAATACAAAATAAATAAAATAAAGCCCAAATGGCGTGTTGTTTTCCTTCCTGGGTGGGAGGTTAATTATTTAAACCTATAAAATCAAGTCTTGCAATTATGAGTAACAGGTAAATGGATATGCTGACATGAAATGTGCATTTCTTTTCTCTCCTTTTGGGGGCTGCTAGTCCTGTCACACCTTCTGCACTGGCCGAGCTTCTCAACCTACTGGACCAGAAAGCAATTTCTTCAGCAGCAGCGAAAAAGGTATGTCCCCACTTCCCAAAGCTTCTCCCTGCTCTGCTGTCCCAGCAGAAGGTTTCTGCCGTCACTCAGTGAATTTCATAGTTGAAGTAGTAAATGCTTGTAAGTGCTATTTATATGCTGAAAGGTAGAAATATTTTATTTAGCAAATAAAATAAAGCCAGTCTGAGCTAGGCAGGTGATTTGGTTCTCATCTTTGCTAACCAGGGGGAATACTTATTGTTTGACTTGCCTGGAATGTTTCCCAAACTTTTGCTTATATAAAAGGCTGGGGCCCTGAAGTTCCTGGGGGCTTCTGACTGTGGAACTTGCCCTCGGCTGTGGGAGGCTCCGGCAGCCTCTGGTGCTCCCTCTTAGCCTCTACAGCCTCCCAGCCCAGGACCCAGGGACTCATTTTTCTTTGTCTTACGGTTGCCCTTGAAAGTCAGTCATTCAGCAAGGTGGGTGAGGTCAGACAGCCTGCCTCACGCTCAGAGAAAATTTTACACACATGCCCAGAGTGTGTGAAAACACAGAACAATAGCATCATTATCATAGGCCACCTATGCCTGGTGCCTCATCTCCGCCTCCGTCTAACAATCTTAAGTGAGTGAAAGATTCCTGGAATTCTGAAAACTCAGACAAATAAGTACCCAGAAGGATCAAGAACACCAAGGCAGCCACCTGATCTCCACTTCAGATATCTGAAGCTGTAGATGAGACAGCCAGAAACTAATGTTATTTTAATGGTGCCTTTTGCATTTAATAGTTATACACATCAACAGTAGTGGCAGATTACAAAGTGAGGCATTGGAAAGTGTCTGCTTTTGGCTAATTAGGAGGCACCATGAAGCATACATCTGCCCATTCAGGGTGAATCTGGAGACAGGAACTGATAAAGGCAGTTTCCCCACCAAGTGAGGCTGACACTGCAGGGCCCTGGTCACCTTCAGGAAAGGATTGTGGTTGCTGGGATGTCAGAGGAATACAAATGTTTATGGCAATGCTCAGCTAGAGCAGAAAGATAAGATGGCTGGAGGACAGAAAATATATGTATGTGCATTAAAGAGCAGATGAATTGTAGCATTTGAAATGACAGGCAAAATCTCCCCCTTTCCGCTCATCTTGCCCCACACACACAAGAAAAGGAAACAAAACAAACAAACCCAGTGCAGTGAATATGATAGGCTCAGTGGGAAGACGAGGAAAATGCTGGAAGGTGCTAACAGCTGGGTTCAGATATAGAGACACTTTTGGATTCTCAATAAATTTGAAGCATGTGAAAAGGGAGGTGGGGTGAATCATGGCTTCTGGGAGGCAAAGTGAAACGAAAGTCTGATTAGAAAGGTGTGAATTGTGTGCTGCATAAGGAAATCCTCCTCATTTATCATTGCCTTGGTGGTTTTGCTTTATTTTACTTGTTTTCTGAATTTCTGGTGGAAAAAAAAAATTTGTTTTTTATGAAGAATCCATCCTTCTGGTATATATGCATGGGAATGGTATTCATCCAGTATTAATGGTAGTTATTTCAAGGTGCTAGAATTTGAAAATCTCTATATTTTCCTGTATTACCTAAACTTTTTTTTTTCTATAGCTTTATAATATAGTTTGAAATTGGGGAATGTGATGTCTCTGGTTTTGTTCCTTTTTTCTTAGGATTGCTTTGGCTATTAGAGTCTTTTGTGGTACCATACAAATTTCAGGATTTTTGGTTCTATTTCTGTGAAAAATGCTATTGGGATTTGGATAAGGATTAAATTGACTGTAGATTCCTTTAGGTAACATGGACATTTTAACAATGTTAATTTTTCTAGTCCATGAACACGGAATATCTTTCCATTTCCTTTGTTTTCTTCATTTCTTTCAGAATTGTATTGTAGTTTTCAGTGTATAGGTCTTCCACATCCTTGGTTAAGCTTATTCCTAGGTATCTTATTCTTTTTGTAGTGATGGTAAATGGGATTTTTTTCCTCATTTCTCTTTCTGATAGTTCGTTGTTAGTAGAGAGAAATGCAACAGATTTTTGCATATTGATTTTGTATCCTGCAACTTTACTGAGTTTATTACTTCTAATAGTTTTCTGATAGTCTTTAGGGTTATCCACATATAAAATCATGTCATCCACAAATAATACTTTTCTTTTTCCCCAGTTTGGATCCCTTTTGTTTGTTCTTGCCTAATTGCTCTGGCGAGGACTTCCAGTACTATGTGAATAGAAGTGGCAAGAGTGGGCATCCTTGTCTTGTTCCTGATCCTAGAGGGAAAGTGTTCAGCTGTTCGCTGTTGTCATGTGGCCTATATTGTGTTGTGTTGCGGTACTTTCCTTCTAAACCCATTTTGAGAGTTTTGTCATAAATGGATGTTGTATCTTGTCGAGTGCTTTTCATGTCTATTGAGATTATCAAGATTGTTAACCTTCATTTTGTCATTTCCTTGTGTCTACTTTAAACAAAAATCAACAAAAACCTTTGTGCTAGATAGTGTTACATGTCATGCATACAAATGATTTTATGTTTTTTACCTCCTTTTAGTATTTTGGTTCTTTCCACGTTTTTCTATGCCCTGCTTTTCTTAGGTTTGTGCTGATGTTTGTTCCTTTTAGAAGGATGATCTTTCACAATACTTGCCTCTGACCAGAGGGAATGCTCCTCACTGTACCTGTCACAGCCCCTCCCTTACACCTCCCCTCAATAGGTCTTTCCTCCACTTTCTGACCCTGGAAGCCCCCAGGATAGGTGAAGGGCCTGCCTGCTTTCCTTCCAGGTACCTTAAAACAAGCTTTAGCTAGAGAAACACTTGGGTAGTAGGTAAGAGAATGTGTGAATTCAGTCACCAGGGAACTGAGGGCTGAGTTTCTGTCCCCATTTCAGAGCTGGCTCAGTGGTCGTGGTGCGATTGGGGTTCCCAGTTTGTATTACCCAATATTTTGGTGGGCATTTATTTGTACAGAGGACCAGCATGGCACTGGGAATTCCTTGTTCTGTATGTGTGCCTTGAGTGGGCAGCAGCTGCATGCCTGGCCGAAAAACATTGCACTTTGATAGCACTTCCCAGGGCGGTAATTAAACACAGACAAAAGCTGAGGATTTATGCTGCACCATGAGGCTGGCAACTACAGAGGCCATTACATTTGCTGCAAGAGGGCCAGGGAAGGAAGCCTGTGGCCCTTCGGTGGCTCCCACCCTGCTGGGTTCCAGCAAGGAGTGCACAGTGTGTCTTAAATAGGAATGAACAGAGGTTTGGACCAGTGGAGTCTACAGTGTCAGCCCAGGGGGCTGGAGCGGGGCTACAATGGCCACTGACTAATGAGGGAAGTTAATAAGCTGATGTGTTCTCACTCCATGAGTAGAGACACTCCAGTCACCAGGCTCCCCTTTGTTCCTGGAGGCCCCTGAAATGTGTTTCTCTCGTGTCCCTTCTTTGTACCCCACCTCACCCTTCTTTCTCAGGGAGCAGCCAGTCTCTGTATTTGAAAGCGTCAGTGCTTGTGTTGTCCTGCTTTTCCTCTGAATGGTGCGGTTTGGCAATGATCCCTGAGCTGCTCCACATTGCCTCTATTCTGGTGATTTGGGCTTAAGCAAATCCCACCAGTGTTAGAGCCTGTCGGTCCCAGCCGTGTGAGGTGCCAGGCCTAGGCTGACAACCTGGTCGACTTGCTCAGATCTGCGTGGCCCCTGAGACTGGCAGGTGTGCCTGCCGCAAAGCCATAAGCGTCCCGGCCTCCTTTCCTAGAAGGGTTGCTGCATAGATTCTTTATAAGAACGTCCTCACAGGTGATTTTTGCTTTGAGCCAGAGATCTGGAGTCTCTTGAGATCTTCACTCTTTTTTTCCTGAATGTTGGACAATTTTAACTGAGAACTTCTTTTAGGAGACTATTGTCATGGACAAAATAAACACTGGTCAAAGTCTAAGTACCTACCAGTAGGGGATAATTATGATAAATATATTTGATGGATATTAGCTTTTCATTAATTATAAGGAAGCACTTATGCAATAAATGAAACAAAAATAGGCCACAAATTGTATATACATTATGGTCACAATTATGTTACAAAACAGAAAGACAAAAATGGAAAGGGAAAACTCCAAAATACTAACCTTGTTTATCCTGAGGGAATGGGAATACAGGTGATTTCTTTTTATCTTTTCTATTTTCCCTTATTTTCTACAGTGATTGTGTATTAACTTTTATAATTAGAAACAATGGTTTTCATTGGATTTTATTGGGGTGACATCTGTAATAAAAGGGTAATATGCTAATTAGACTGGACAGCCAAATGACCTAACGGGTGTCATTCTGGATGAAGCCATGGCGGCGGGGGCTGAGGCAGAGGTAGTTAGTGGTGATCAGGCAGGCAGAGTGGTTAGGGGTGATCAGGCAGGCAGGCGAGCAGTTAGGGGTGATCAGGCCAGCAGGCAGGCTAGCGGTCCCAGATTGCAAGAGGGATGTCTGACTGCCAGTTCGGACATCCCCCAAGGGGTCCTGGATTGTGAGAGGATGCAGGCCGGGCTGAGGGACTCCCCTCCTCCCCTCCCCGCACAAATTTCATGCACCCAGCCTCTAGTCTATATATATAAAAGGCTGATATGCAAAGTGTCCCCTCAGGAGTTCAACTGGGAGACCGATCACTTGCTATGATGAGCACTGACCACCAGGGGATGGCGTGGAACAAAAGGAGGCCCTGGCCAGCAGCCAGAAGGCCCCAATCAGCCCTGATCGCCGGTCAGGCCTAGGGACCATACCTGTGCATGAATTTCATGCACCAGGCCTCGGGTTGGTTAATAAAATTGTATAGATTTCAGGTGCACAGTTCTATAATACATCATCTGTATATTGTATGTTCATCACCCTAAGTCAAGTCTCCTTCCATCACCATTTATCCCCCCTTCCCTCTGGTAATCACTATACTGTTGTCTGCATCTATGAGTTGGCAAATGTGTTTTATTATTCAGTAGCTTGTCTCCTTGTTCTGTTGATGGCTTCCTTCTACACAAAAACTTTTTAGTTTATGTAGTCCCATTTGTTTTTCTTTCCTTTTGTTTCCCTTGCCTGAGAAGACATATCTAAACAAATATTGCTAAGAGTAATGTCAAAGGATTTACTGCCTGTGTTTTCCTCCAGGAGCTCCATGGTCTCAGGTCTTACACCCAAGTCCCAGTCCATTCTGAGTTCACTCCTATATATAGAGTAAGAATGTGGTCCAGTCTCACTTCCCTGATAAGTATCTGTCCAGCTTTCTCAACACACCATCCACCTAAGAGACTGTCTTTACCCCACTGTACACCCTTGCCTCCTGTTAGAGGTCAGTTGACGATATAGGTATGAGCTTACCTCTGGGCTCTCCACTCTGCCCCATCGATCCGTACATCTATCCCTATACCAGCACCACACTGCCATGACCACCATAGCCCTAAAGTCAGGTAATATGTTGCCTCCAACTTTGTTCTTTCTCAAGATTGCTTTGGCGTTGACCCCATGGAGTAGAAGTTGCTTTAGCAGGGTTCTGGTACCAGCCAGGTCTGCCTTTCAAGTGTGTCATTTGTGGAGCTGGTTGGGTGGTGCTCTCGTGTGGTCTGAAGTCAACCACTGGGTGTGTTGGTTCTGGAGCCTCTTGGGAGGGGCCCTGGTGCAGGCCAAGGTCAGCCAATGCTTCTGCCAGGCTTTGGGCTACAAAGTGATCTGTGGTTGGCCGCTTGCACTGGGTTTGGACGCTCTGCTGCAACCCAGCCTGGCTGCCACTGTGCTGGGCTGGAGCCCTTTGGTGGCCACCACCACTTGTGTTGGGCATGTGGCTGCTTAGTTGAGACTATGTTCCAAGCCAAACTGGCCACAGCCTATACCAGGCTTGGGGCCACCTGACAGGAGTTACAATGCAAGTTGAGACTGGTCGTCACTTGTGCCAGGCTTGGAGCCACTCATCAAGAGGTACAGAGTATGCCAGGTTGGCTTCTGCTTGTTTGGGGTTTGTGGACCTTTGAGATACTTTAGGAAAGTCCATAGCATGAGCCAAGGCAGGCCACTTGTGTGGAGGAACCACTAGAAGTGGCTCAAGTCAGGCAAGCAAGTTGGGTGGGAGGACATAACACCAGGGCAGGGTGAAATGGTGGTAGCCAGTTTGATGGAGAGCTCAAATTTGGCACCCACCTGTACCAGGCTGGCAGGATGGGAGAAGAGCTCATCAAAGGAGCAGCGGCTTTTGCCAGCACTTCTGTCTCCAGAGAGAGCTGCCGTCAGCCCTGAAGCCAATCAGTTTAACTCCTCACCCTATGTCCCTGGTGCTTTTCTAGCGGCTGCCACTGTGCTGGGTGCCCAGAGCAAGTGAGTTTGGAAGCAAGCAAGTTTGTGCGTGGACCCTCAAAAGAGGAATGCTGGGTCTCCAGCAGCCTTCCATCTCACTCCCATGCAATCCCTGCTGGTTTTTCACAGCCAGATGTTGTGGGGACTTCTCTTCCCAGCACTGGTGCCCTGGGCTGAGACCCCGTTGCTCTTCAGGGGGGCATCTGTAGCAGAGATAATCTTCCTGATTCTTAATCTCCACACCATGGATATGGGGACCTGCCCATTCCACCTCTCCACCCCTCCTGCCATTCTCAATGCAGCCTCTTCTTTACAGGACTTCTGTTTAGCTTGTCCTCAGGTGGTTTTCAGTGATAACTGTTCTAGAATTTAGTTGTAATTTTTTTGTGGGCGTGGGAGAAGGCAAGCACAGCTGTTACCTACTCTGCCTCTTGACCAAAGTCCTATGGGCTAATTACTGACCAGCTATTTTTCTGGGAGGGATGGTTCATCCTTGGCCCAAGTTCGTCCTTGGTCTTAGGGGTGCTCAATGCTAACTGTAGGCCAAGATTAAGGAGATGCTGCATGAGACACACGGGACACCACCCCTTCCAGCTCACACTAGAAAAGTGAGAGGAATGAGGAAAACTGCCCCCAGAAATGCCTTTTTAAAAAATGTTTTTCTTTTCCAACTTTGATAAGTAGAAAAATGCAAACATTAACTATTGATCATCCTAATCAGATTTGGGGCCAGGTCCCTATGGATTATTATTTCTGTTTTTAGTTATTTTTCATTTTGTATCTTCATTATGGGGCCACTTTCTTGCTCCCCTAAAATTATGTTTCTGAGCAGGCTGGGTTTTCTGAACCTCATCTAAGAGCAGTGGCTAACTCCTGCCGCCTGTGAGGTGCCGTCCTTCACCACGCTGATTTCAGTTAATTAATTCATTGGACAGGAGACAGCTGGGCCTGGCCCCCCTGCTCCTGTCAGCAGGAGCCTGTGAGTAACCATCTCACACCTCATCTAACCCCTCCCTGCTGGTGGCTGAGTCAGCTGGTGGGGAGTACCTCTCTCTGCAGTGTGGCCTCCTGCTCTGCTTCCAGGGAGCAGCTCAGCATGGGGAGACTCCAGGTGTGTCTGCATTCGCTGTAGAGCAGCTTCCTCCCAGATGCGTCAGGAGAGACAGGTCACCGTGTGGGCCACACCTGCAGCTGGGAATTCATTGCATCTGCTTGCTGACTTCTTTTCCCTCTCTCCCTGCTTCTGCCCTGCAGGTGTTTGAGGAGCTATGGAGGAGCGGAGGGAAGACTCCAGCACAGATAGTTTCAGAAAAGAGGCTTGAACTGATGCAGGATCAAGAGGCCCTGGAACAGCTCTGCCAGGCCACAATGGAGGAACATCCTCAAGTGGTAATTACCACCCACAGGGTGAGGAGGATCTTAGGTGCAGCTGGAGGTAGGGGCCAGCCTGAGGACACAGCCAAGAGCTTGTCCACAGCTCCCTGTAACAGCAACCCAGAGGCGCTTCCTAGTAATGGCTGATCCAGTTTTATCAGTAATTCCCTAAGTATTTATGTCAGTTTTTAGCTCAAGGGATGAAAGTAGGTGAATATTAGAAAAATACAGCTTTTCCCATGGAAAAGGAAGATCCACCCTGCAGTTTAATTTCATGGCCTTTCAGTTGAAAGGGTAGTTCTCAGACTCACTACCAAAGTTTTGACCTCCTGGGCACACGGTCCTCCCAGGCATGTGGCTTCTGAACATGCTGTGCCCACCCTGCTTCATGAGGAGGTCCTCAGTAATACACCAGCAGGGGTGCTGCAGAGGGGAAAGATGCTAGGAAAACACGCTAGCTTCATGCCATTAACAGGTGGAAAGAAAAGCAGAAAAAATTATTTGTAAATTATGGAGCAAATCCTTAACGGGAGCATAGCTGAAAACCAAGTCATTTTGTGTTCTGAGCATGGAACAAAATAGAAAAGCTACGATGAGTAGCATCCCTCCCTCCCCAAGTCTAATTATATTGTCTAGAGATTGTTCACTGGGGGAAAAAGTGACTAGTACCTCTTTCAGAACAATAGCCACCTACCCATCAGCTTGCCAGGGACACTCAGCTCTGGAAAGTGCTCTTGACAAGGAAAATGAGCCTGCTCTGGGACTTGGGAACCTCTGTCCTCCTGCCTTAGCCACAGTGACCTATAAAGTTACACTTCTCGTTTCACTCATTCCACAGCACTGAGTGCACATACTCACTGGCTTTATTGCCCATTCGGGTGCTGCAGAGCAGGAGGGCGGAGCCAGTGGCCCTGGCACCACAGTGCAGTGCCCCCTCCCCCCCATCCACATGCTCGGGGAGAGTCGCCATTCCATGGTTTTATTTCCTAGTAAACAGGAGTTGAAGCCTTCTGAGGAGAAGGAGACCTGCATGTCACTGCCTGCTGACCTCCACTGGAGGCCCTGAGAGGCGCCTCGCCCTGGTCAGTATGACGCAGCACAGTCCTCTGTCCCTACCAGTTGGGAGACAGAGTGGCAGGATCTCCGACAGGAGCCTAGAAAATGCCTCAGATCTTCACACCCCCCCTTTCCTTCTCTCATACTAAAAGAAACAATTTAAATTTCAGTAAATATAAACCTTAATTTAGGATTTTTATGTGTGGGTCTATATTTTCTCCTCTAAAACAATTTCTGTCTTGAAAGGTAATGGATCTGAAGAAGGGAAACCCCAGAGCTATAAATAAACTGATCGGCTTGGTCCGAAAAGCGACTCTCAGCCGAGCAGACCCGACTATGATAAAGGAGATGCTGGAGAAGCAGCTGTCATCATGAGATATTTCCGTCCCTCTGCCTGAGGGAGATAGTGGAGCCGTACACAGAACCGGAGCCTTGAAACCCAACGTCCGTGAGTGAGCTCGACGTGCTGGCATCCCCCAATCCCTGGGCCTCAGGTGCCACCTCCACAGGCCAGCAGCCTCACCTGTTTGCATCATTGACATCAAAATGACTCTGTCATACCTGCGAAGGTGATTAAGAACTAGCACATTCTAGTGCTTAATAATTCTGAACTAAATGAGACATGCTGTTTCCGATACTGTTACCTTTCTAAGAAAAAGTTCATTCATTACACAGTTCTTTCAACAAATATTTCTGAGCACATCCTAAGGGCCAGCAGTGATCGAAATAGACCAGAATCTGGGTGCAGTATTTTAGACCTAAAACAAGAGTGATGAAGAGGAAAGAGGAAGACAGCAAGATAAATCCATTGACAGTGTGTTTAGATTGGTCTTTGTGAGGGCAGGGAAGGAGAATGTTAGTCACCCATCCACTGAGTAGAAGTGGTGCCCGTTCAACGCCCTAGGAAGCCATGCTCTGAGAATAAATGGATTTTTTTTCTTTTTGGTAAAATAGACAACAGAAGTTTTCAAATAAATTTAATGAATAAAATATGTACTGAAATATCACATTAAAAATTAACATACACTTTAAAGATTGTGCAGTTGACAATTCCCCTGCCCCCTCAGGCCAAAAGAGATAAAAAGAGAAATAATAAGTTGTAACATTAAATTGATCTGTTTTGCCTGGAAAGAATAAGATTATAAACTGACAAATCAAAATTTTGACCTTTAATGGTAATTGTGGTGCCGTTAACAGCATCTCCGTGAAGCCGGGTGCCTTTGCCGCTGTTCTCATGACAGTAATACTATTTCTGTCCATCGCACTGGGATGCCCCTTTATCCATTTTATTGCCTTTTTACCTCTGACTCACAATGCTTAAAGACCAGTTTTGTAAGTGGTGGTTTTTAAAAGCACATGTCAAATTGTGACATAAATATGAGAGGGAACATTTTGGAAGCCCTACTTTTACACTGAATTCTTTAGCCTACGAAGAAAAGTATAAACATTTCCAGCATGAATGGTGCTCCAGTGGCGACTGGAGAAAAGTGGACCTTCCCCCATCACCAGTTTAGCAGTGAGTGTCACAGACTCAGGACTTCCTAACTAGGTAATGAGAGAAGCGTCCCTCTGGCTGATTTAGAATTAGAGTATGTTACACCACCCAGGAAGCCATGTGCCCCACATTCTGTCCCAATACTGACAACCACTGGGCCTAAAAGTAAAATATTACCACTGAACCTTTTTCAAGAGAGAAAGGCAAGTCCATTCTCTCTTACCCCACAAGTCTTGGAATTAATTACAAACAGGCAAGGGCAGTGTGATGTTGGAATCTGGCAGGATCATTATTTTGCAAAGGTCTGGCTTCTTAGTCATCAGACTTTATAGAATGCACTAGAGGAGCTCTTCAAAGCATTGGAAATCAAGGGCTGGCTTAAACTGTTACGTCAAGTGTACGCTGTATTACGGACTGGCCATTCCCAGAGAACCATGCCGTCATCAACTCACTCGAGCTTCGCCAAGCTGACTGTGGTCCAACTCTGATGGTTGCTGCGGTACTGAAATCCTAAAAATCAGACTGTTATGTGGTTATAACTGCTTATGAAAAAAAGAAAAATGCAACCACAGCTCAGATATCTTACTTGGAACCTGACTAGATACTTGGGAGATATGTTCACATAGTCCCCTAAGAAATCCTCGAAGGCTGGCCCTGCTCCTAATAGGCCTCAGAGGATATAATGTTAAGGACAGTACTTCTTTGCAAAGGCATGATTTAGTCTGTTCGTTTGCTATTTAGGGGCAAGTCTCATTAAAATGTGTAAGTTGGCGGATTCCAATGACAGATGGCAGTGTCTTCACCTGTGGCACCATAGGTGAAGCCATTGCCATCTGTCATTGGAATTCGCACACCTGTAAGCTGGGAGGGGAATGTGCTGGAAAACAGGCTGTCCCCCAGGTCAGCCTGGCCAGGCGCAGGCTGTGTGCTGTGTTGCTTGGTTGGCTATGGTGGGAGGGGAGGAACGTCAGCCTCAGGACTCACCGTGCTTCCTGGCACAGAATAAGCACTTAGTAAAAGTTCACTAATTTATAAAATGAAATAAATTTGTTGTGGGGCCCCTTTGTATGAGAGGTTGGTGCCCACTTTGTTGGACCTCTTCGTTTAGGAAGGAGCTTCCTGTCTGCAGGCCTGTGCATCAAGGTGAACCGTTCCTACCTGTCAAGGTGCAGGTAGCCCAGGAAAAAGCATGTTGATCATTATTTATGCCAAGTTAAGGATGTGTTACCTGAGCTTCACACACTGCCCATCTTTTTTGTAATTATCGCTAAGCTTTACAATAAGGAGGTTGTAAGAAGGCCATGAAATTTTTGAAAGTAACACATCCTCCTGGGGCTTTGAGTTAGCTGGTTAATTCAATGTACAGCTTATGGCCACCACCCACAGTTTGTTCTGTTTTTCACTTCTGTTGCATTTAGCTGCATCATTCAAGGATTCTGCATGGTGACTATTTTGGAAAAGAACACTAAATCTCTCTGAAAGGCCATGTTACTTACTCATTACAGAAGCCGCGTGGAAACGGCCGCCATGCTTCTTCAGCAGATTGGAGACAAATGCACCCAGGGATTGTATAAGAAGAGAGCTGACCCCCGATTGTGAGATGCAACGCATCTGACTGAAATCCAATCTCACTGCCTGCCTTCGTCAAACAACTTAGCAGAAATCAATTAAGTAACATTGTCAGTACCAAATTCCCTCTTTTAAAATGTCTCCAGGGCAAAAAGGGGCTAGTTATAGGTGGGCCTTGTGCAGACTTATGCCAGTGAAAAGTCAGCTGATACGCTAAGCAGCACAGACTTCTGCAGTCTCAGCTCCACGAAATTTATAATCTGGCCTAAGAGCTTCCATCACTCTTGTCAGGCTCTGCCGTGACATAGGAAACCTAAGTGCCCCCTGAGGTGCCTAAAGGACATACTGAACTCGTGCTGGCAGAACCTACGAGCAGCCTTGCTACTTGTGAGTGACAGCGAGTTAGGTCAGCTCACATGTAAAACAGGAACAAAACTCACAATGGCCCAACATGACAGGAAGGGTCAGTCCTGCCTAAAATCATTCTTCATTTCAGATCCCAAGAGCAGAAGCTGCAGAACTGAAGGCTTCCTCCCACCACGTGCCTGTGCTCCCTACAGGACTTCACCGAAACTCACTCACTCAAGCCCGTTTATCCAGTTAATGAGCTGCCTGGGTAATCAGTCCTCAGAACAAGTAATGGCCCAATAAATGCTGGGACGTGGAGAGGATTTACTGAGGCAAAATTATCCTGAAAACAGCGCTTCGTCTTCCAGGCACTCTGTCTTTAAAAAGCATTAGGTTTATGATGGTCATTCAAACAAAAAAACAAAAAGTCGACTCCATTCTCTTTAAATATTTCCTCAATGATGTGGTTTAAGGATGGAGTGTAAACTGGCTTGACAGTGTTCTGTTTTAAGCTATTATTTGGTGGGGAATTGGTGTTGTGTGATTTATAGAATGATGGCAGCAGCAGGAAGGGGCCTGAGAATATCTACTTAGCACTTAAAGCTGATGTGGCATCAGCAACCAGAGGACCGCTGTTGCCAGGAAGAGCCAGTACTGCAAAGCCACGAATTACACTGGCCTGGGCCGAGGACTGGAAGGGGCACATTCAGTAGTAGCCTTCCGACGCTAAGCTGTTTCATAAACATCGCAAGCATGCCTGCCAGTTCAGTAAACACAGGGCAGGCAGTTAGCAATTACTTTGAACTGCCCTCAAATGAGAACTGCAGGGGATGCTGTGGACATTTAACATCACACCAGTGACATGCCTCACCCTGGTCGGGGTAGCCCTTCCCTCATGAAAGCAACTTAGACACACTGGTCCGGTTCAGAATGCATTGCAAACCCCACACGGGTCTGGAAACCAGCCCACACACCACTGCAACCAAGCTGATCTGATGCAGAGACCTCTGAAACCAGGCGCAGTCGGGCACCAGGGGCTGCCAGATGGGACAGGCAACGGAGTACTCGCATACCCTGCTTCCAGACTGTTCCTAATGGGACGCCCTCCTGACAACCACGTTACCACAATGACAGCCACTTGCTATGGAGGAGGCATCCTGTGGGCCCCTGGACGCACTGAACGCATCCTCTCTCCAGGTGACAGACACAGTGCCAGCCCCCAAACAGCAAAGCATTTTCCAGAGTAAAGGGTGGGCAAAAGTGGGTTTATAGTTGTGAGTGCATGAAACAGAGTTTATTCTTCAGTTATTAATTATTGTTATTTGTATAATAATATAAAACTACTTTTGCCCAACTCTGTAATACTAAGAGAAATGGGGACAATTTTATAATTCCTCTAAATACCAGGAGAAGGAAGAATCCATTGATAAAGAAAATCCCACCACTAATTGGTTACTCTGGCATCATGGCTGACAACTTCTTGGCTAAGGAATTATCATTTTCCCCCTCCCCCCAAATTGTATTTGAGCTAAACTCAACTTGAAATTTCTTTGTTTAAAAATTTAAGAACATTTCCTTGGCCGTTTTGAAAAATCAATTTTAAATATCTCCTTGCTCTCATATACTTTATACCACAAAACTCACTTCATCTGAACTGAACCCCAGACCCTAAATATGAGTGGAGGTTAATGTTCTGATGTTCCAGGAACACCTGACTGGCCTTCGCCAGCCTGGGCCATCAGGCCAGACACTGTGACGCCAGCCCCAGGGCTTCCCCCAAGGCTCTGCCCACGTCTCCCGCAAGTAGCGCAGCATTGGACGTGCCAGCCTGTCCACATGGAAAAGTATCTCTACTCTTGGGCCACGTTTTAGAGCACACGAGATATCTTTAATTTTTCCCCAAAACTTATTACAGAAATATTTCTATGTGACCAGAATATTTTACTTCATTACCAGGACTTTTCCCACCCGGAGTTTCCAGCCTCCCCCACCTCCGGCACAGTATCTTCATATCTACCAGACCAGTGTTTATTCCTCCAACCCCCTAGGGTATGGTCTACTTACAGCCTCAGCTCTTCGATTTTCCCCTGGCACATCCACACTTTCTATAAACCATCCTTACTAACCCACCTGGCTGTTCCACTCAACCAAATGGGTTTTCTGGTTTTCCAGAATGTATTTCCAGGTCAGTTTTCTGAATTAATGGTGTAAAACCCTGGACAAATACTCTGCAGTGGATTCAGATACACGAACCAGTTTCCAATGTCAAACAGAAAGGTGAATGTGAATTTGCTACCAGCACCCAACCACTGGAGTTTATTTTCCTGCCTCTCACTCCGGACACTGGTCATCTCTCTCTCCTGTAAAGTATGTCTACTTCAGTACTTATTTAATAAATATTAAGATCCCACACCACCACCAGGTAATGGAGAGAAGCATAAACCAAGACTAAAAGCTTAAAGAATAGTTTCCAGATGTGACTTCAGCATTTTACGTACCTAGGAAGTCCAAACTGGAAGACAAATACTTGTGCAAAACAAAGGGAGAGAATAATAACTTAGAGCTTACATTCCATCTTTCTGCTCTCTTTCTCTTTCCCTTTTCCAGTGGAGACTTGGTTGTGCAAATGCAAGCAGGCGCCGGGAAGCCCGCTACAGGCCAGTCGGCTGGGCCTCGTGGGTTCTCACTGCTGTACCACAGCTGGGTGAACCATTTTTCAAGCCAGACAAATTTCAAGTTGGAAATGTTCAATGAATCGGTGTCTTTGGTTTCTTGCTTAGACTTGGAAACACTGCGAGGTTGGCCCCTAAAAGCCGCTCTCAGTTCACCGCTGCATCAAGGTCCCTAGACCACAACGGGTGGCCGCTGCTCTGCAGGGCCTCAGGTACAGTTGCTTCTTCCACTCCCCTCCTGACCGAGAGGCTGATTAAAACCAAACCAGGGCTCCTGAGGCACAGCCACCAGACCTGTGGCTGCCCAATACCCTGTCGCCTTCCCCCTCCCCTATCACCTCCCCCCCTCTCCCCACCCACCGGGGCTCAGCAGTCACACCACAGACACAGAGAGACCTGGGGCTTTGGACGTCCCTCCACACAGGAGGCTCATCCTTGTAGGTGCTTCTCACCTGCCCCTAATCGAGAGAAGCAGAATTGAAAATCCATCAATACCAGTTGTTTAGGGTCTCATTTTTAGCCCACAATTATCTTGTGTGTTTCCCACTCTTGGTGATGGTTGAAGGAGACTGTGGCTCTACTTATAATTACTCCTCTCGGAGCAAGCTGAAAAGCAGCAGAGGCACTAACACATCACACTGGGGTCTTCTAGTGAACCCCATTATTCAGGAGGCAGTGATTCTGCATGGAGTGAGTCACTGGCAGGCACTTGGCTTTGCAGGGCTCCCTGCGACCTGTTTGCATTTGCATCCCAATTCCCAAAGCAGGTGTACAGTTCCTGGTTCTCTACAAAGTGCAGCACATTAGGAAAAGCAAACAAAATTTAAATGATTAGCAGTGATTCTACAGGCTGCATTTAGTTTATCTTTTTCCCTCCATATTCCCCCCACACACACATCAAAAAACCACAAAAAACCCTGCTATGAAATAGCTCCACAAATTAATCTGGTTTTCATAAAACACTTCAAAAAATGATGGCTGTCTTATGTAAGTACATGATAGCATGCTTTCTTCTGAGCAAAATCCTAAAAAACCAAAGAAACAGTTTGCATAGGTGTATTTCATTTTGTGCAAATCTAAGATAAGGCTAGTGTTTAGGTGACACGCCAAATAATCTCTCCAGCAACAAGAACATTTCCCTGCATCCCAAATTCTCTCCAACCGCATCAGCCTCCCAGCAGACAGCTGAGACCAATGGATTTGCCTGCACCATAAGCAATCTATGTTGGGCAGAAAGCGAGTCTTGGACATAAAATGCAAAGGGACAGATGATACGTGCTTACGTGATGGAGGCTCCATTTTTATTCTTCCCTTTGATGAAACGGAAGCCAAAATGCAGAAGGCAACAGGAACAGGTGTGCTTTCTTCACGTGCCATTGAAGAGCCGACCTGACAAGGGGCACTTCCAGAAGTCACTGAACCCCCATATTCGCTTGGTGTGCTCTACGCTGCAAGATGAGTCGACTCAAAGGGATGAGAGAATAACAACCAAAATATTTGAGGAGGAAAAACAGCAAAGAAAACCCGCCCACGGAGCAGCCAGCTTATGCGACTTACATTCTGTGTGACGCAGGGTGGGAAGGCCCAGCGAGAGAGAGAGGAGGTGCCCAGAAGGTCCCCTCCCCACAAATCAAGTATTGTCAGGAAACATCAAAGTAGAAATCTTTGTAAGCAGCTTTGCATTTAACATTCAGTCAAGACACTAAAACCTTAAAAAACAAGAACCTCTATTTAAAAAAAAAAAAAAAAGCTAACAATAGGAGTCCTCAAAGTCCCCCAGGATCTTATAGCAGAGAACGGAGTGTTCCTGGGCCAAGGCAGCCAGTTCCTTCAGGAACTCGGGGAAGAGGGCCGCGGCCAGCATGGTGTTCCTCACCGGCAGGGGCAGGCTTGGCGGCACCCCCGCCACCGCGGCTCTGCTTGTCAGGAAGGGCTGGAGCACTCTCGGGGCACCATCCAAAAGGCTCCTGCCAGCTCCTGTCCTGGAAGCATCCTGAGTGGGATCTGAAACCAGAAAGCAGATGGTCACGAGAACCCTCCAGAGCCCTTTACCTCCCCCGTCGCAAGTGTGTGTTTGAGGGGAAGGAGGCGGGTGGGGAGTGTTGGGTCCAGTTTCTGTGACTGACTGAAGCCTGAAGACAGCCCTGAGCACACACTAATCCACTCGGTGGCTCACACACGTGCCCAGCAGATGACCTCCAGCACAGGGCATGAGATATTAGGCTTTAATCCCGAAGCCTGTATAAGAGAGTATGACAAGAATGTAGGTTTATCAGGAACCCCCATGCCCAGGACTTGGCAAAGGGAAAGGTTGAAAAAGGCATCTCCTGCCGACCAGTGATTCTCTCTCATCATTGATGTTTCTCTCTCTCTCTCCCCTCTTCCTTCCTCTCTGAAATCAATAAAAATATATATATATTAAAAAAAAAAGACAGAAAAAGGCATCTCCTGCCATTGCACCAACCAAGTGACGACTTAACTCACCATGATGGTAATAGGACATCCAGGGGCTCCACCTGCTCTCCCAAACTCCCATGTTGGGAGACTGCCCTACCTGGGCCGGCAAAGCCCCAGCACACAGCACTGCTGCAGGGGGAGGCGGGGCCACACGGCACTGCTGCAGGGGGAGGCGGGGCCACACGGCACTGCTGCAGGGGGGAGGCGGGGCCACAACCACTACAACCTCTGCAGCTCCTGCTCCCACCTCTGGGGCTCCATGGTGACACTCCCGCCACCCCCCCCCCCCCCCCCCCCCCCCGCAAGCCCCTTCTGGCTGGGACCTCCAGCCTTCAGTGGAGGATAGGTTGAAAGAAGCCACTGAAATGTTGGAGATGATGGAGAGGAAGTTGGGTGCTGGGAAGACCAGACTGGGCACTTCCCATAACTGTGGGCATCTGGTGACAAGTGGCTTGGGAGCCTCCCTTAAAGGAAGGTGTTCAGGGGTTTCTATCTCAGTTTCAGTAACATAGGTCTCAGATAATAATGAGCCCAACCTTGAACATATTCAAGTGATTTGAATTTTCATATCAAAGCAGTTTCACTAATTAAAATGGTTCAACTTTCCAGACTATTTAATTCCTGAACATCTCCAGCCTTCATATAGTTATTGGAGTTATTTATGCCGTCTTCTGCCCCCTACTCAAACAGTCTCATTACTCCTCATAAATCATTATATTCAAGCTCTTCATTATTTTGGCTGCTTTTCAGAATTCCAGTCCCATTTTTAACACTCCGAGAAGAGTGTCGCTTAACTACAGTACTAAAAATTCTTGACATTTATAGTACTTTCCATATCTCACTACTATCATCTTTAGTGTTAAAAAAAAAAAAAATCCTTCGCTTTACTGCTTTAAATATCCTTTTTGATTAAAGCTCATCACAGTTCGTGCCGTAAAGAACTGGAAGAGAATCCGCTGGTACCTTTCAGCAGAAGCCCACAGCGTGTCCTGACATCAGAGTGATGACCAAAGAGTTGATGTCACTGAGGTCCTCACACCAACCATGGAGACACCCACTCAGCAGCCCCACCCCAACTCCCAGCACTGCATCTCTCCAAGGGTTCCATGAGGCTCACGAAGGATGGTGTGGGGAATGGGACACGTGGGCACTAATCCCAGACCCAAGACCTGTTCTCACACTGGCTCCCCACCTGGAATTCCCGCCCCCACACTTCTATCACTAGCCTTAAGAGACTCCAGTACTGCGGTGGAGAGCAGACTCTGCCACCTGCTGGCTGAGTAACAGCAGGCAACTTTCTTTACCTCTCTGCACTGTAATGTCCTCATCTGTGTAAAGCTCACAGAGTTGTAAGGATGAAATGAGTCAATAGGTATAATGTACACGGGGGCCTCTTGATAGGTGTCAGCCATGTGTCGTCATTACTTCAGCTACCACTGACTTTACAAAGCACTTCCTGTTTCCTGTCCCTGGGAGGAATTCTCTGATTAGCCTCCCACCCCATCTTATTTACCAAATAGCACCTGCATTGCTGTTATGTTTTTCTTCCTCTGGGAGACTCTGAGATTTCTGAGAGCAGAGCCCCTACTCAATGTGTCCTTCCTGGCCCCACACACTTCCTTACTCATAGTAGAAGCTAATGAACATTTGCTGTGTGAATGAGGGAAGAAACTGACCAACATCAGGTCTTCCGTACATTGATCTCCCTGGAGCTGGTTCATATTCCTGATCTCCATCTTTCTCTCTCAAATTCACTCTTCTTCCCCCTCCCCCCCCAAAAAAGGGGGGTTTTGTGGCTCATTTATGTAGCTTAATTCATGAATTTAAAAAGTGTCATCGCTAAGGCTCATTTACCCAGCTTGAATCCGAGACTCCAAACTGTCTTCACTATAGAAGGCAGGTGGCCCCCACTGAGGGGAACCAGGTCTGGCAAGGAAGCCTTACGGGAGCTCTGTCCTATCAGCACGGGACCAGCCTTCCAATAGGTCACACAGCCCCATCGGGGTCTCAACTGAAAGCAAGAAAGCCAGAGGTGTGGTCCCTCCCTGGCAAGTAGCTTATATAATGTCTCGGTTTCCTCTTCTGTAAAATGGGACCAATACCTACCTCACCTCCCTCTCAGAACTAGAGACCAGGGAGAGGACTCCGAATATAAAGCATGGCTCCTGTGCTTTAGAAAGTATTTGAGGGGGAAATGAAAAGCCTGGGAAACGGCTGAGCCCCAGAGACAAGGCGACAATGGATGGCTACACGGGAAGTCCATGGGCTCTGCAGCGGTGGTCACACAACCTATTTAAAGGGTAGTGAGGAGGCTCTTTTTCTCTCGGGGCCGCCAAGAGGCTGAGGGAACATGGCCTGCCTGACGGAGCAGCTCTGGCTGCCGGTGCCTGACCAAACCCTCATAAAGCACGTGCACAGAGGCCGGAGGAAGGGAAGAACAGATCAATGCCGGGGTCAGGCGTGGTTTTCAGAAACGTTGACTTGGGTCTGAAAAGCTGCAACCCAGCATTTTCAAGACTAATCCTGGAAAGCTTTCAGAAGTTAGGAGAGCAATCGTTACCGCTCTGCTGCTGGTCAGCAGTGTCAGAGCACAGACACGGACATGGGAAGCCCAGCGTTTGACCTCTTCCCGGGATTCCTCATTACACGTTGTTGTGTGCCCAGGGAGAGCGCTCCTGGACTCAGCTCCTCGGCAGCACCTGTTTCAGAAGTCTGCTCTGCACGGGCCAGGGCCTTCCTCCTTCTGGGAGTCTGAGTTTTTTCAAGTGGAGCGGAGGCTGCCACTTGGCTAACCTGAGAGAAGTTAATGTGGAGAAACTCCACAAAAGGAAAGTCTTAGATCCCAAGAGAAGCCCCACTAAGCAAAGTCCCAAGTGTCACAGACTTGGAAAAGCATCAGCCACAGCTGATTAACTTGACAGCATCATGTGGGAACAAGCTCCCCTGGGCACATATCTGGTGGCCACAGCCATTGGTCCGAAGCCAGGACAAAGCACCAGGTGTGAGTGACCCCATCCTTCAGCAGAACACGCACCTCTGCCATCACGCACCTCTGACGTCAGTCAGCGTGTGTGCACTCAGCCCGTGAACGAGGCAGACAGTCACAGGCACCTGGGCCTCATGATCCCGCCTGACTACCCTGGGCCCCCACTTTCAGCTTTCTTATATGAAAATGAACCTCACAGTACCGTTCTTGCCCATTTCGCAGTGCTTGTTTGAAAATAAAAGTTGACCGTCTGGGAAAGCACTTTACAAACTATGAAATACAAAGGAAGACCAAGTCTGGAGTGTAATGTAAGGAACTGAAGTCACCTCCTGCATGGTAGACTGAAAGACTGGCCAGCCGTTTTGCAGCTCTTCCCATCAAGAGGTGGGGGTTTGCTGCTCTTGGATCGGGGCTTCCCCGGGGACTTTGGCCAACAGCATGCAGGATTCCAGAGCCTCAAAAGATTTTCTGTGTTCCTGCTCTCACTGCAGCCCTGTGGCTGTGACATTTGACCAGCAGGGCTAACCCGCTGGATGAGGAGAGAAACACACCCCTGCCATCCCCAGCCAGCAGCCACCCATGTGACTGAGGCCATCCCAGACACCAGCCACCTGCAGACAGCAGCCCACGAGCCAAACTCAGCCAAGCCCGGCCCAGGCGACCATGCAGACTGAGTCCTCATGAGTGGCTTTCTATTAATCCACTGTCTGTGCAATGGCTTGGTATGCACAGGAGCTAACTGACGCACCCTCTCTCACAGGGTGAGATGTGGTAACACCCTCCCCGTTCAGGGGGAACACAGCTAACAGACCGGCTGTGCAGGTGGCTAGCAGAGGCCGCATGGGCCTGCAGTCCTCCTTCCCACAGGCTCCTTTCCCTCCACGAATGGCCTGCCTGCTGTCCTCTAGGCCAAAGCCTGAAGCCCCTCCCAGTGGCACAAGGCCCACCTTTCTTGCAAAATCTGCCTTGTGATGCCCTAAGGGCTCTTCACACCCAGAGTTCTACAGCCACAGAGGAAGTCAGAGAAAGAAAACAAATTCTTCACTTAAGAGTCAAGGAACCTGAGGCCTTGGTGAGGCGCAGTGACTAAGATCAAAGAGCTGCACAGAGGCGAGGTCAGCCTTCAGAGTTTCCCTTAAAGGGTTAAAAATTGCCCTGAGGTAGATTTCTGCCTATGGGAGCCTGTTTCTGATCACAAGCCTTTAGCCCACGACTGAGAACCCCACTCTCACCACTAGTCTTCGTCTTTAAAATGCTGGGTCGCAGCTTTTCAGACCCAAGGAAAACACGGGCATTTCCTGGTCTGCACACCCCAAGGCCACAATGATAGCTTGGAGGACAACCAGCCATTCAAACTGTCCAAGCTGAGCTCCCCAGGCTGGCCGGCCAGCAGGACAACCTCAGTTCTCCTGCGGGGCACCCACCCACCACCCTCCCTGCCCACCTTGCCAGGCAGGCCCCGTGAGCTGATGAAAAGTCACCTTCAGGAACTTTAAGCGGAGCATAAACTTTCCTTCTCCCAGTCCAAATGAATAGTTTTTACCTTCTAGAGCCCTGAAGCACATTTATTTGGGGCCCAAGAGTCTCTGAAAACGTAATGAAGAGAACAATGCCCTCCTCAGGGTAGGGCTGGTTCAGGGTGTGCAAGGAATGCCTCCCGCCCCGAGGCACTGAGTTATTTATTCTAGGCCCAGGACAACCCACACATCACTCCTTCCCTAGGGAAGCAAATGCCCACTACACCCTCCAAACAGGCGAATGGGCCGGGTGTGGGCTGGCAGACCTTTCTTTAGGCTTAAGAACACTAACAGGAAACTCCTCGCAGTTGCATAAAAAAGAAAATACAACTTAGATGCTTTAGAGCCCAGGAGCCTATGCAGCATCTTTGAACCCAGACAGGGAGGCGGGGAAATGGAGGAGCAGGAGAAGGAGAGACGCAGGGGAGAAGCACGGCTCACCTTTGGTTAGCGACTCAGCTGTCACGTCAGACATGTCCACTCGGAAGAGCAGGTATTGCTGGGCTTGTATGAGGAGCCCTGGGAAGTCTCTCTCCATAGAAGCAAATTGTTCAATCTTGTTTTTCACAGATGCGAGGACCTGTCAAAAGGGCGTTAATGATGTTACTGCTTCAAATGGAATGCCAGCCCCAGTTGTCAATCTCTCTCTCAGGGGTGGCCCTCCGTGCTGGAACTGTTCCTTTTGACATTTGCTCACTCTTTACTGACCCGCCAGGGTGTTTCAGTAGGACTCCCTCTAAACAGCAAACTAAATGAAGTTTTGCTATTTGCTAGAATAATCTACACACAACTAGCAAAACAGGATGAGGAAGGAGAGCAAATGAATGAGAACAGAGGAATTTTTTTAAAAAAACACAAAATAACAGGGGAAGGAGGGTAGGAGCCCTGCTCATCAGCACCCGTAAAATCAACAGGGGTTAATGTGGGCTCAGCTAGCGCACCTGGTAGAGAGAGCGGACGCTTGGCTGGAAGACCATGTTGGTGTTGAGCAGAAAGGAGCGCAGGAGTGGCTGTGGGTAGCTGGCCAGCTGCGTAATGATCCCGATGAGCAGCAAATTAACGTGCAAAGAGTTCTCCAGCATGTTCTCTAGCTTCGACAGGACCACGCTGATGAACGGGCCTGAGGGAGGGACACGGGCTTCAGGGCTGGCGGGCACAGGGCAGCCACAGGGGCCACAGCTCCCAAACCACAGCCCCGCCAGGTGCAAGTCCAATGCAGACACGGGAAAGGCAGCCAGGTCTTCCCCTGCCTCAAACCCAAGCACACAGCAAACCACCACCAAAAAGGAGAGCAGGCAAATGGGCATGGGAGCTACTATCTTGACTCCATGAGCACTTTTAACACTTGGGAAACTATCATAGACCTGGCAGATAATTTAATTTTTAAACTTAAGGTATACTTTTCCACACTGTTTCTGTACTCGGTGCTGCCTATGCTCAAAGCCATGACGTTTTTCAGCTCATGACCCAGCATGTTGTAGGGCTTTATACAAACATGAGAGGCCACAAGTTTGGGTAACAAAAAAAAAAAATCTTTGTGCTATTAAAGAATAGCACACCTATATGAACTGTGTTTATCAGACAGTTACACTGTGAACGGGGGCAGTCTGTCCCCAACAAGCACTGTGAGAAAGATTGTCTTGTCAAATGTCACCGTTCGGAAGGACAAGGAGAGAAAGACAAGGTAAATAAGGCAGGTAGCCCTGAGCAACTTGGTAACCACCCTTCAATTTTCAGATGGGAGGAAGGGAGAGAAAGGACTTCATCTGGAGAGATACAGTTTGGTATGTCATAGCTTCCTTAAAAAAAGAAAATCCATATTTCATTACAAAGCAGTTCCTAAGAAAATTAAGAAAAAAAGAAGCTTCGACTACTTTGGGTCACCAGAAAATTAATATGCTTTGAGTTCATTGAAGACAGGGGAAAAAATCCAGAAAATTAATCTGGCAGTAATAAAATTACCGGAAGATATTTCCTAGTTTTACCATAAAAATGGTCCATTAAGCAAAATCAATGAGAATTTTGTATTTCCCCCAGTGGAACTATTGATGATGCCATGAAACCATAGCATATTTATAACAAAGCACATATCCTTTGATGGATAAACGTGCCTTATGAAGACGTCACCAACATCAATATGAGTTTAACTTCACCACAAGAAGCTTCGTTCAGAAGCCGTGGTGGTGAGAAATGAGCGCACCAAACACAAACCTCTTTCCTACGCGGGCGAGTAGCAGGGCAATAGTTCCGCTGCCAGGAACACAAAGCATGTCTCTAAGGGGCCTCAAAACACAGAGAAGGCACCATCCCCTCGTGAACCGAACTGAGCCTCGACGTCCCAGCCTTGGGATGGGGGTTGAGCTCCTCAGTCACAGTCGATGGCCCAGAAGGTCAATGGACTCTTCACACAGAGAGCCTTTGGAGAGCCCTTGCTTGCAAAACAACCCTGGCAGTGTTTGCCAAACATATTCAGGAAAATTAATATGCTTGGGTTGAAACCCCAATTTGAAGCATCTTGATGGACTTCCATCAAGAACCCCAGAAGTGTCCTCATGCATCACAATGCAGTTCTAGCTTTCCAGGTGGATCCACAAGAGGCTGCTGTCCTCACCCTCCTCAACCTGGACCCAGTCTTTCACATCCCCTCTTGCCCACCCCTGTACATTGCCAGGCTCCACACCTGCTTCCTTCCGGAGGGAGCAGACAGGTGAATTAAACCGTGTGTAGGGGGGGAGCGTCTCCGGTAACACACATGGCCTTAATGTGAACCCTCAGTTTCCCTGGCACATCCCCAACTACACTTGGCCTCAGCTGGCCATCCCACAGACATGAAGGTGGCTGGCCAGGCAGTGACCAGGGCACACCATCTGTAGTCCAACACTACTACAAGGGCAGAGAGAAAACCAGCGTAATCGCACCCTGGGAGTGTGCCATCACTGTCCACCTGAATGGCAGGATATTAGTTCAAAGCCAGAAGACGGTCATTATGAGCCACTAATGACATTAATTACAACTTCTTAGCCATGCGCAATAAGAAATAGACATTAAACCCTTTCAAACTCCTGTTTTATTCTTAGTTGATTTCTAGCACTTTAAAAGCAGTTGCGGGGGGACGGGGGTGGGGGTGGAGGGGGGGGGGGCATGACCGGTAAGCAACTGAAAAGCAAAAAACTCAGCTACAATTCAGAAAGGCACAGGTGTGTATGGGGGTGATGCCTGAGGAAGAGTGACTGGTGGCATTTCTGAGGTTCTGGATGGAACCCCATAAAGTTGCTTTCAAATTGGGATTGCAATCCAGAGTTAATCCCCCTCTTCTTCTAGAAGGACAGATAAACTCCACAGCCATAAGATATGTAATTTTTCAGAACTATGACAATCTCTACTGCCCTTCCCTGTCACTCGCCCCCCTGTCCTCAAGTGCCCCTTCCCCTGCCTCAATATGACCCCCCCCCCCTCCTGTATTTCCTGGCTCCAAGGAACGGAGCTGCCATCAGTTCTGTACCCCCTGTGGCCCTCTTCCGAGAAGCCTCCTCCACTCCCTGCCCTGGGCCCCCATGGGACTTGGCACACAGCGACTGACAATGCATTTCTCACTAAAAGAGTTCAGTTCTTTGTTGATGTCTCCTCTAAATGTCCGAAAACTCCTTCATTTTTGTGTCTTTAGTACCTAGCATAGGACCTGCCACATAAAGGTCTCTAACAAAATCAATTAGATAAATGAAAGGGAAACTTCGGTTTTGCTGAGAGGCAAACTCATTTCGGCGGAAACCAGGATCCTACGCAGAGATGGACGTTCAGCCTAATGCTGCAGAACACACAAGGACAAAGTTCACATACGCGGGAAGAGTAAAGATGTCTCCTGAATTGTGTATGCATTAAAATGACCTATATATGTCAAAAAACTACGTTTTGTTGGCTCTCAGGTGTATCATAAGCAAAATATTGGTGTTATTTAATACGGTATTGTATTAGCTCTTTTCTTTTTTTTTTGCCCTAAGCTATACTCGGTTTCCTCAATTTACATATTTCCCAGGGATGAGACTCCTTGACAGAAGGCTGGCATTCTGAGGAAGGCTGGTCATTCGCCCGTCGCCCAGGGCCCTGGAGTCCTGGAGAACCGTTGGGAGTTCCCGCTGGGTGAGAGTCAAGGGGACCTGCTTCAGGCAATACTGCGACTCCTGCGGTCCCTCTGCCCCTTTCCTTGCACTGAGCTCTCTGCCCCTCCTCAGTTGGTCTGGGGCCTTCCCTCCCCTCCTCCTCCCTATCGACTGGGAAAATTAAGCTCATTTAATCCTTTCTATTTATGATTGACTGACTGATTGAATTTTAATTAAAACCCATTCACACTGAAATGTTATCTCAACTAGAACCTCCAGCCTTTTAATTGTGGAATTAAAAGCTTTCTCCCCATTTAGGCGTCAGTAAATAGAAGAATAAGTATTGGAGGAGGTTCATGAACCCGCAGGAAGCCTACCTGGCTGGACCTGGTGATGTGACTCCCTCTGTGTTGGTTGACTGGAGGAGGCGGGAGCAGGTCGCTCCTCCCCATGCTGCCCGCTACTTGCCAGGGAAGGATCAGCCGAGGCTGCTGGGGCTGCCAGCAACCTTAATAATGACCCTCAGTATTACATTCAGTCCTCACAGGGGAGAAGGGCGGGTCGGGGACACCAGGTCACGTGGCTGAAAGTGCCAGAGCCAGGATGCCCCGGGAGGCCTGACTCCAAGGCCACTGTCGGTCCCACAGTGATGCCAGCTCCTTGAGGGCCTCTCCTTGCTACCCGAACACCGTCGGGGGCCCTGAGCTTGATGAACCCTCTGTGCCTGACCCTCTGCCTCACCATGTGCAGGTTTGGATGTTACTGGCCAATATTTAATGACATTCTGCACCATAATTCCTCATCCAACCCACTTACCTAATATCCTCCCCTATCGCTTTGCCTCTCCCGTGAGTCTACCTGTGGGGAGGGTGTATCACTGGGACACCCACTCTGTAGCAGAGTTGAGTTTATGTGGGTCTCCTGGACCTATTTTCGGATGAAGATTTTGTGATTATCTGAAATGAGCTCCCAGGCAGAGGCCCAACTAACCAAGGGCCCGATGTGTCCACAGCAAGTGTTCTGGGTGCGGACCACCTGCTCTGGTCAGCGTGCAGGGGCTGGGACAGAGCAGAGAACAAGCCAACACCTGGGCCCTCATGGAACATACACTCTAATGGGGGCGCGAGGGGGGGGGGAATGTGCTTTTAAGAGAATTCACATGAAATAAATGCTAAGGAGGAAAATAAATTAGACTACAGGAAACGAGGCTATTCAGTAACGAGACTGGATTTCTTATGTGGTTTCAGCAGCCCTATTACTATCACAGGCATGACAGTAAAACTTAACCTCTAACTTGCTGGTGGGGAAAAAAATACAACAATCATGGCAAGACTGACAAAATAAAATAAAAATGAAACCACCCCTTCTCCACTCTTCTTAAAAATACTTCCGCCCCTCCGTTAGGTAAATGGCTAATGCCCCTCGCCCCCACCTACCTTACTCTCCTGTGTAACATGCACAAGTGCTTTCAAAAGCAGAAATCACAAAGCAAGCTAAGCCGGTCACCTGTGAACGGGGCACTCTGAGTCCTCACGGGACGGCGACTGGCACAGTCAGCCTCCTCTCTCACCCCAAAGGGGGAGGGCACGGTCTCTTCGGCAGGAGCTTCCGCCATCAGAGAGTCAAAGTCATCCTCCTCCTCCTCCTCCTCCTCCTCCTCCTCCTCCAGGTCCTTCTTCCCCTCCTCTTCCTCCTGCTCTCCTTTGCTCTCTTCCTTCCCCTCTTGCTCTTCTGGGAGGAGCAAGGGATCAGAACCCTGGGAAGAGGAATTCTGCCCCATCAAGCCCTGGGTGCCAGAGTCCAGTTCTTTAATGATCTGGTCGTACTGGGCAATGAAATCTTCACCCTCCGGGTCAACCGCCATGGGGTCCGCACCGTGCTCTGCCTCGGAGACAGGGGGTGCTGCCTCTGAGTTTGATTCCGGGGCCACCGGGAGCCCCTTCTCTGGTGGTGGCTCCGCGGACACATTGGGAACCACGTCTGAGTTGTCCCTGTGATGCTCCTCCTCAGAGTCTGTCTCTGGCTGAGGGCTGGGCAGGGGGCCGTTGTTCGTGGGGGGACTCTGCCCCTCGGTCTGGCCCTGGGCCGGGGGCCTCGCAGGCTCCTCCTCTGACTTTCTGGTGTCTTCGGCGTCCTTCTCCGCACACAACCTGTACACCATCACATCGTCCTGAAAGTCGGACTCCTCGATGTACGACCCTTTGAAGCGCAGGATGGCGTTCTTCTTCATCTCCTGGATGTGTTTGGGGGGCTCGATGGGCGCCGGCAGGCCAGGATTCTCCAGGTCGGCCCCCGAGGAGATCCCGGTGTCATAGCTGTCGTCCCACTCCAGTTCCGTGTGGCCCCTGTCCTTTCTGGGAGGCAGCTGAGGCCCCGTCTCCCTGGGGAGCTGCTGGGGAAGCCTGAGCCTGAGCCCGGGGCAGGCGGGGCTGGTGGTGCTCTCCTCCGTCAGACTCTGGAGGAAGGTGTCAGGGTCCGGGGAGTCTCCGTCGTAGAGGGCGGACCAGACCCTGCAGTCCCTCATGCAGTGGAGGATGTTGGCGTGGGCCTCCCAGAGGTACTGCAGGTAGCTGATGTCCAGGGCTTTGCCGTACTCCACGATGCAGGCCGATGGGGAGGACGCCTCAGGCAGTGGCTGCTCCAGGGGCCCTGCAGGAGGCAGAGGCAAATGAATGAGCAGGGACACTTCAGAGAGGTGGGGGGACAAAGGCCATGGGCGGGGATGTGGCTCATCTGGCTGCTGAGACCTTCTTTCACCAGCTACTTTGATTCTAATAATTTCTGATTAAATGATTTTTGAATAATTTAAAATGCTTAGATTTTAAGAAGGAAAGATAAGAGCAGGAAGTCTACCCTAAAGGAGATGTAGAACCAATGGGGCCAGTCAGATACTGGCTGTCTCCAAAGGAAAACTTACTTGGTAGCAGTCCTCAGAGAAATAAGAGCTGATCGTGGCAACCTCTCAGGTTGCTGAGAGGATTGAATTAGGTAATATATCGGATGTAGTACCTGCCACAGTGTAGGTAATGATTTTAAAGATTTTTACTTTGATTCTAAAATGGAAGGCCTGTAATCCATGAGTTTGGGGAGCAGATTTTCTCTGGAAAACACTGGGTTTTTAGAAAAGCCTGTTGACTTGTGCTGCCTTCCTGGGAACTATTGGGGTTGATATGTACCACATGGTCTCTTTATGTTAAAGTCCTATTCACTACCAAAATGGTTCTTTTCACCTAAGGATGCTTCAAGTGTTCCCATACTCTGCCTTTGATGTTCAAGTTCTTTACTGCAGAACTGAAAAATAGGGTCTTCAGGGGAAAAAAAGGACTCAAACAAGGAAAAATATATACTCTGCAGTTTCCTTAAACATCTCCCATGTGGCAAGTGCTTTATCGGTGCTAATTCAATCCTCACAACAACCTATGTGGTAGATAGTACTTTCTGCATTTATAGATTAAGAAACTGAGGCTGAGCCCTAGCTGGTTTGGCTCAGTGGACAGAGCATCGGCCTGCGGATTGAAGGGTCCCGGGTACAATTCCAGTCAAGGGCACGTGTCTGGGTTGTGGGCTCGATCCCCAGTAGGAAGAATGTAGGAGGAAGCCGATCAATGATTCTCTCTCATCATTGATGTTTCTATCTCTCTCCCTCCCTTTCCCTTCCTCTCTGAAATAGACAAAATAAAAAATATACTTTATGCCCTAACCGGTTTGGCTCAATGGGTAGAGCGTCGGCCTGCGGACTGAAGGGTCCCAGGTTCGATTCCGGTCAAGGGCATGTACCCTGGTTGCAGGCACATACCCAATATGGAGTGTGCAGGAGGCAGCTGATCGATGTTTCTCTCTCATCGATGTTTCTAACTCTCTATTCCTCTCCCTTCCTCTCTGTAAGAAATCAATAAAATATATTAAAAAATATATACTTTAAAAAACGAAGAGATCTTCTAAAAAAAAAAGAAAGAAAGAAATTGAGGCTGAGACATACTAGTAAGATCACCCAATTAACTGGTCAGTGGCAGAGCCACCGCTCAAGCACCTGTCACTCCTTGCTCTTATTTCACTTGATGCCACACCTTTGCAAGCTTCTTGTCTCCTCATTATCTAAATCTCCTCCAGACTAGGCCAGAATGGGACCTTTAGGAATATACATTTTCAGGCCATCAAGGTGGACATAATTCATTTCTTATGGTTCTACTGCTAAAAGGTTAGTGTTGACCTCTTATCCCTTATAAATAAAAAGACATTAAAAAAACAATACTGGATATAGAGTTCAAAACCACGTTTATAAGGTTTTTCAAGAATTTTATGGAAACCGCCGATAAATTTAGTGAGACCCTGGAGGATATGAAAAAAGACCAATTAGAAATTAAGCATACACTGACTGAAATAAAGAATAATATACAGAGATCCAACAGCAGACAAGAGGATCCCAAGAATCAAGTCAAAGATTTGAAATATGAAGAAACAAAAAATACCCAACCGAAAAAGAAAAAAGAAAAAAGAATCCAAAAATATGAAGATAGTGTAAGGAGCCTCTGGGACAACTTCAAGCGTACCAACATCAGAATTATAGGGGTACCAGAAGAAGAGAGAGGGCAAGATATTGAAAACCTATTTGAAGAAATAATGACAGAAAACTTCCCCTACCTGGTGAAAGAAATAGACTTACAAGTCCAGGAAGCGCAGAGAACCCCAAGCAAAAGGAATCCAAAGAGGACCACACCAAGACACATCATAATTAAAATGCCAAGAGCAAAAGACAAAGAGAGAATCTTAAAAGCAGCAAGAGAAAGACAGTCAGTTACCTACAAGGGAGTACCCATACGACTGTCAACTGATTTCTCAACAGAAACCATGCAGGCCAGAAGAGAGTGGCAAGAAATATTCAAAGTGATGAATAGCAAGAACCTACAACCAAGATTACTTTATCCAGCAAAGCTATCATTCAGAATAGAAGGTTAGATAAAGAGCTTCACAGATAAGAAAAAGCTAAAGGAGTTCATCACCACCAAACCAGCATTATATGAAATGCTGAAAGGTATTCTTCAAGAAGAGGAAGAAGAAAAAGGAACTCTTACCATTTGCCACGGCATGGATGGAACTGGAGAGCATTATGCTAAGTGAAATAAGCCAGTCAGAGAAGGATAAATACCACATGATCTCACTCATTTGTGGAATATAATGAACAACATAAACTGATGAACAAGGACTGATCCAGAGACGGAGAGACATTGATTGGACGGTCGGGCCTTGGAGGGAAGGTAGGGGAGGGTGGGGGTAAGGGGGAAAGATCAACCAAAGGACTTATATGCAAGCATATAGGCCTAACCAGTGGACACGGACAATGGGGGGGTGAGGGCATGAGCGGGGGGGGGGAGGGGGGAGGGGTAGGGGGTAACGTGGGGATAAGGACACATATGTAATATCTTAATCAATAAAAAATATATTTTAAAAAAACAATACTAGCAATATTTATTTAGCACTTACTACATGCCAGGTAGTCTTCGAAAGCTTTACATGTCCAAGGGCACTTATCCTTGGAACAACACTTTCAGGCAGGCACTACTTTATATACGAGGAAAACAGTTTAAAAGGTTAAGTAATTGGCCCAAGAAAGTAACAGAGCCCAAGATTCAGAATCCTAGTTCTTAGCCATTGCACAAAAATTATAGCATCTATCTCCCCACCCACCTAACTATCTTTCTATGTAACCACCCATCCATTAGAGCATTTGTCTGCTGTAAGGAACCCCAGAGGTAGTATAGTGGAAAGAACAGAGGACCTACCCGCTAGATAACCTTGAACAAGCTAATCCCTCTCTCTGAATTTGTACAGCTGGCAAACAGCACATCACTCCTGTAGGTCAGTCAAATGACTCAGATACTGTTGATGTACACCAAATTTTGACCTTTATGAGATGTATCACAAATTTCGAGTTTTATGGTGATACATTATTGACAGGCAAGCGCCCACAAATGGGCCATTTCAGAAATTAAAATAAGAGCTAATTCTATCTTAGCTCTTTCATCTCCACATCCCTCGCCCCTATTTTGTTTGAGAAGACATAGTGGTATGCGTCTTCCTTTACATTTGGATTCTGAGGGCGACACTAGAAATCCTAGTTAAAATCAAGGTCTGGGTACATAGAATCAGCGGCAGCTGGGCATGAAAATGAACACTAACTACAAAGTGTCATAACTCCTTACGATGCAGAAAAGGACCCCCAACGAAATATTCATAAAAGACGCAGAGCTCACCGTCTTATTCTCCATCTTCTCAAAGAGACCCACATCCCCAGGAGAGACAGAATCTGGTATCCTTTTGTTTACAGAGCATCACCAGCAAGTTCCTACCTGAACTATCGTGCGTACACTTTGACCAGAGGATATAATCCCTCTCTTGGTTCCCAAGCGTCAGGGTGATCCCGCTGGAGCAGCAGACCGGGGTCAGGGCGAGCAGCTTGGCCGCAGACACCGAGTAGCAGTCTCTCTCCTTCACAGCCCACCTCTGACTCAGCATCATGTGGTTGCAAGGGATCAGATACCTGGAATGACAAAAGGTGGTATTCAGTCTCTGCAACGTCCGTTCCCAACCAGCACCTCCTCAGCCATAATCAGGACTAATGGCCAGGGGTGACCCATCCTCTCCATACTCTCAATCCATCTATCCCACCAGCCCCCACTCTCTCTTGCTTAAACTCTCTCTTGCTTAAAATTTGTCAAGAGCTTCTTTCTTCTGACAGAACAACCCCCTGTGCAGAGCATTTGAGGGCCTTCACAATTCAAGCTGCACAAGCTTCCTCATTTCTTAATGGAGCTGCTATCCTATCCCTCTTTGCCTCTGTGCCTCTGCACCCACTGTGACCTTCACCCAAAAGGTGCTTTCCCTGCATGACAAATGCCTTGTCATCCTACAAAGTCCAGCTTCAGTGTTACCTTTTCCAGGAAGGCTTCCAGGCTACCTACTCCAAGAAGACAGATCTTCTCCTTCCGCTATGCTCACAGACCTCTACTAAAGAACTAGTATTTAGTAAGTTATTTTGGTGTTTGCCTCCTCAATACAATGTACTCTCAGAGCAAAGGGCCTCTTTCAATAATTCTGAAATATAATCCCAGGAACTCTGCCTCCTGGTGGGCACTGAAGGACAGTGGAATCGCTGCATAGTACAAGTCTCCTCCCATATTCTCCTGAGTGACTATGAGAAAATATGGTGTCCAAGGACTCACTGAGGGCCCCATTTCACACAAAACACTTTTGGTTGGTGATCAAAAGCATCCTAGTATCATCATGACCATGGAGACAAAAAAATCTGAGCAATCGTTTCTGACACCCTTAGAACACATTGTGGGGAGAAGAAAGTGTGTTCAAACCAAGCATATTTCATGATTTAAGTTGATATACATGGATTTCTACTCTTTGTTGAAATATTTTTAAAAATGGTACACTGGACCAAACCTAACAAAGCTACTTATCAAATATAACCAGAGTGTAGCTTGAAATTATATTAGAATAAAGAGGTATTGGGAATTTATAACTTTGCAAACACATGCTTTCAGTAGAAACTAAGAATTTTCTTCTGAGTAAATTAATAAAGGAAGATCCCCTGTAGGTTGAAGGAGAGATTCTACAACAAGTGGGGAAATCAGTTCAAATAAATAACCCCCTCATATTTAATGCAGTACTTCTACTGTGTCTTTATAATGAAGGCTAATTCCAGAGGGAAGGGCAGAAAAACTGTACACTGACTCTCTGCCTTTCCATCATTTATAGATAAAAAAATTTTAAAACACACAAAAACAAAACAAAAATGAATGTTCACTGCAGCATTATTTACAATAGCCAACTTAGGGAAGCAACCTAGGTGTCCATTGATAAATGAATGAATAAAGAAGATGTGGCACATAAACACAATGAAATATTACTCAGCCATAAAAAAGAATGATATCCTGTCATTTGTAACAACATGGATGGACCTAGAGGGTATTGTGCTAAGTGAAATAAGTCAGACAGAGAAAGACAAATACCATAGGATCTCACTTATATGTTGATTTTTATTTTTTTTAGGTCAAACAAACAAACCAAACAGAACAAACTCATAGAAACACAGAACAAACTGATGGCTGCCAGAGGGGAAAGCACTGTGGGCATGAGTGACAAGGTGAAGGGAATAACAGTGAGTAACTCTGAACAGTGACAGATGGTTACTAGTATGGTGATGACATCATAAGATATAAAATGTTAAATCACTATGTTGTACACCTGAAACTAATATAATATTGTACTATTATTGGCCAACTATACTTTAATTTAAAAAAAGAAAGAAACAGAACAAATGTCAGATGCTTCCCAATGTCAAATATCAAAATGAAGTGGCTGTCGGTAGCAAAAAGTCACTGAGGAATTTAGTATAAGTATTTCTCATCAGACTATCTTTTCATTTTTACTCTACTTATTTTGTTAAGGAGTCTTATTTAAATTCAGAAAGTCACAAATATAATCACAAAATAATAAATATCTGATTTTAGGAGTCCAGATTACTCAAAGCCATCCCACAACATAGCAGGAAAAATATATATTGCCCATACTGTCCTCCCTCTTTACATTTTTTCCCCCAACTCTCTGCACCCCTTGTCTATTTTCTCTTTTCCTGGGTATCGCTCATTAAAACAAATCATCATCACCTCTGAAACAATTCAATGACAACCAGTCGATAACAAAGCACACATACTGCCTATTGCTCCATCAACAATAAAAACAAACAAAACTGCAGTACAATGACGTAAGCAAGGTGCTTCTTATGGGATGATGATGATGACCTGAATAACAGACCACTAGGCAAACATTTAGGAAGCAATGTTAAAGAATTTCAAAAAAGATTGTTTCGTTTTCAAAGACAGTATGGCCACATTTCTCCTATTTGTCCTACCCTTAGGCTGGCTGGCATTCCTCCCCCCCCCCCCCCCCCCCCCCGCTCCAGACACCTAACTCCCGTGCGAGATGAAAATGTTCCTGAAGTGCACACACAGCTGCTCTTTGAGCAAAACAGCCTCTATCTGAACACAACAGGCTACGTAGTTCGTAAAGTTGACAATGGACCAGCACTTCTGAAAAAAACACCCTACCCAGAACATTCATCAATGGCATCCGGAGGATTAAGCAGTTACATTCTGCCTAAACTGGGAAGAGCCAGGAACCTGAGGGGTGATCTCTCCCTTCACTGCTCGTCAGCATTTCTGCCTGCCTTTGGCCTATCACGTGTCACATCCATGGAGATGGATCATTTCTCCTTGGTTTTCTGCTCACTAAAATAGCCTCTCTTTGGGGAGTATCTTATTTCAATGTACTTTTCTGATATTTTGCTAACTGAAAGAAGGATATCAGTTGCAATTGGATTATCACTTTGAGACGTCAATATTTAAGAGTATTTGGGTTGCAACGAAATTGATGTAGTTATTACTTATTTATCACATAACAAATAACTCCATTAAAAGGATTCACATAACCTTCACTGCTCTATTGCCTCCCAGATCTACAAATTTATCGTGTACACTTGAGTGACAACAGTGGCAACAACAAAAGGATGGCTTACAAATCTATTTTTTATGTCCCTTAAGATAAAGTTCAAATGAATAACAGAATAAGGACTTTTCATTGTCCTTGCTTTTGGTACAGATTCTAAATCAAAAGAGACATTGTTTTCATTAGTTTAAAACGCATTTTCTAGAAAATTCCATTTCTTTAAATTTGTGCAATACCTGATAGCATTTCAACACATTTTCACAGATATCACCACAGTTGATCCTTCCAAAAACCTTATGAGGCAGCAAATTCCAAAACCAGAACAGGTCAAGTCAAATCAGCAGTTCACTCCCACCCACTCTGGGGCCCTAGCTGGATTCTTGCCTCCACTGTTCATAGCCTTGTTTTCATATTTTTTATCTCTTTCTTTCTTTCTTTCTGCTGCAAACTGAATAGCTTCCTCAATCTATCTTCTAGTTCATTAAGTATCTCTTAATTTGTATCTTAAATGCTCTTTATCCCAAACACTCAGCTTTTTTCATTTTAATAATTACAGTTTTTGTTTCTAAGAGCTCTAGTTGGTTCTTCCTCAAACCTGCTTGTCATTTTTGTTTGATTAAAACTATCCATTTTCTTAAAAGAAAATAACACATGTTGGTGAGGATATGGAGAAATCCATATGTTGGTAGGCATGTAAAATGGTGCAGATGTTATGGAAAACAATAAAAAAATTAAAGTAGAATTACCATATGATCTAGCAATTCCACTTCTAGGCATATACCCAAATATATGCAGGGTCTTCTAGAGATGTTTGTACACCCATAGTAGCATTACTCACAATACCCCAAAACTGGAAGCAATCCACAGTGCCCATTTAAAAAAAAAAAAAAAGATTATATTTAAATGGTAAACTATTATTTCATCTATTGATGAATGAATTAAAAATATAGCATACATAGAATCGTATTCTGCCTTAAAACAGAAAAAAATCAGACATGGTACAACATGGATGAACCTTAAAGACATTTGTATACTAAGTGACATAAGTCAGGTACAAAAAGGCAAACACTATTGATTCCTCTTATATGAGGTACCTAGAGTAGTCAAATTCATAGAGTCAGAAAGTAGAACAGTGGTTGCCAGGGGCTGGGGGGAGGAAGAAATGGGGAGTTATTGTTTAATAATTACAATGTTACTTTTGCAAGGTGAAAACAGTTCTGAGATGGATGGTGGTGATAGTTGCACAACAATGTGAATGTACTTAGTACCACTGAACAGTACAAATAGTTAAGAGGGAAAATTTTGTTAAGTGTATTTTGCCACAATTATAAATAATTTTAAATGTGGGGGGAAATCAGTAGTTCAGGGGGCAGAGACCAGGAAGTAGAGGTTGCCCAGGTATCTCCCACGTGCCCGACTTCTGTGTAAGTCCTCTATTTGCTCTTCTCATGGATTCCCCAGGCAGTGTGGCAGAATTAGAAATAAACCATTCAGTAAAAAGCAACCTTCTTCTTCATCATCATCATCATCATCATCATCAAAGAAACAAAGAAGAAAACCTAGGACCAGATGGCTTTGTCCACATTTTCCCCATTATTCTATTCAGAACCTGAGATAATGCGTCCTCCATGCACTCTTCTAGTAATTCCTGACCCAGGAAATAACTAGTTCTGACTTGAGTATGTACATATTTCAACAATGAGCTAATTAATTCTTCACCTTCATAAGGTACAAATCTGTGTTTCAAAAAAAAAAAAAAAAAGCCTTAACTCATATCATCTCTAAGGACAGTTTTTAGCAAACATCACTTTAAAAGCAGACAAAAGGGGAGGAGAGGCCACCTTGGAAAGGTAGCCAGCCCGCTTCCACTGCCTGGCTCAGCTGGCTGGGTGGCCCAGTGTGGGGAAGCTCCGCCCCTCCGGAGTGGGACCAGGCTTCCAGGTACACTAAAAGAGGCACCTGCTTTCCATGCCTCAGAGAAGCAGTATTCGAGAGTTTCCCGTTTAAATGTAATCAGGTTTTGCCCTTGTTGGAGGCAAAGTCTAGTTTGGGGTATAGAAAAGGCTTTAATAGCTGCTCTGATGGCTTTCACCCAGCGTCGCTGATGCATTCTGTCATATCGTAGAGGGCTGATGGGGAGCTAAGTAACATAACTGATGCCCTGCCCAGACTCCCCCGGGGCATTCACTCCTAATAGGATTTGTTCTTTGCTAATGCCTCAAGAGTGGTTGCTGATGACCACTAAAAAGTCCAAAACTCTTGTTAAACACAGAAAATGAATAGGCGATATTCTCCCGTAACCGGATAACTCTGAAGGCCTTCACCATGATGCCACCACCAACCTCCCTGCCTGTTTTTATCACTCGCTTTTGCAGGTGCTATAGCTACATATAGCCAGCCATCAGAATACCCTGGACAGTTTGTACAACATGTCCACCCCCAATTGGTGGAGCCAGCCCCTCTGGGAGAAGGCCAGGAATGTGCGTTTCTAACTAGCTCTGGGGCGATGCCATGCTGCTGTCCCCATGATGACACTCCCATCCCCTTCCTTTTCCAAAGAACTACCTCTTTGGAAAGGCTGATACATGTACTTGGAATGCCATCTCCCGGTAATTCTACCTACATTGTATCAAAGCCCACATGGGGGCCAGGGGCAGTCCAAGTCTCCTCCTCTCCTACTGCTCTGGCTTCTTCCACCAAATTCCCAGAGAGGGGTCACAGGAAGGGTCGGGAAGCCCGGTAAGGAGGGAGGAGGTGTGTGGGGAGAGGGTGCCCAGGGACCACCAGAGGGGAGTGTGGAGCACAGACCCAGCCTACCCTCCCTTTCTTCCTTTACAGAAGCAGTTGCTGCCCTGGGGGACCCCAGAAGGAGAGGCAGACCTGGGCAAAGACAGGATTTGGGGTTCCTGAGTCCCCTTGCCAAATGTCCCTCACAGTTCCACCTGTTTAAGACCCACATAAAGATCTTGCTTGTCACCTGTTTGCCAAATGTCCAAATTAATGTCGTCTTAATAGCAGTCTACTCTGACTCTCAACACCTGTCATCAAATACCAGCCACTCGATGAAACCCTTCCCACGGGTGCCCCTGAAGGACACACCTTTTCTACCTTATACATTAAATCCTTTTCAACTCATCTACTCCACACCTTACTCCCTTCTGAGCTGCACACAGAAAGTACTCATTAAATATTTACTGAATTTCATTGAAACATACATACAGGTTAGAGTACACATTGTATTTGTGCCATTACCAAAGCAATAGTCACAGGAACTATATATCACCAGCATTTCACATTTAGAAAAGTTTGGGTTTTTTCCCCCCAAATAACACAGGTCCCCTTATTTATGAAAAAGACATTCAGCCACGCCGCAGAAGAGCTTTTATAATAATTCTGAAAATTTCCTACCTTTTCTTTGCAGGAGCATATTTGTAACATAATGTATTTGGCCCCCTAAAAACTTTTAACAATAAAACTAAAATTAACCTTGGGAGATAGTGCAGAAATTAAATTGATTGGTCTTGATGATTTCCTTCCTTTGATGCACAGCCCCTATTTAGCTTATGTCACCAAAGAAATATATAATAGCAACAGTACAGAGTGAGACTTTCTTTAAAGGGAACAAAAGATGGCCACTCACCTCAGAACTAGTTGTAACATCACGTCCTCACAGTGTAAACCGATGAGAGTCCTAAATAATGCCAGGGACACCACACAGAGCTGGAGAACAATAAACACGTTCTATTTCAGATATTGGAAGGACGGCTCCACTCTCCACAGTTGGCAAATAAATCAAAATTACAAAATAAAATGGCCTTTTCTTCAGCAGTTTTGATGAAACATGCTGCTGCCTCAGAGAATGTGCATTACGGGTATTCAGGCTATCGGCTCTGTAGGATTCTATTAGAAAGACTACGCCTGGAATTGTACCATTATGCAGAATTGCCCCCCTACAACATGACTCCCTCACAGTTCCACCTGTTTAAGACCCACATGAAGATCTTGCTTGTCACCTGTTTGCCTAAGTTATTTTCAGATATGACATTCATTATCTACAAGGCAGGGCTAACAGAAACTGCATATGCTCTGGCCAAACTTCCCTCTCGAGTTCTCAGCCCTGAGCCGCAGCTCCTTGTGGCTTTGGCGCAAACCTGCTGCTCTGTTCCATTTTCAGTTGTGTTGAGGGTGTGATAATACACTTTCTTCATAAGAAGTTCATTAAAAACAAACAAACAAGACTTCTCTCACTCTGATTTCCAAAAAGGAAAGATACACAACCACACTGGAAAGAACCTCAAAGGTATATTATAAAATCGTCATGCCCTTTTGGGAGTAAGTGCTTATCGTTCTATCAGGCCAGGTAAGTAATTGTACTTCAGGCTCTCCTTCTTTGTACAGGATGCATGCATGGGAGAGTTATAGGGACAGGTTTATCTGGATCTTTACAGATTAGAAATAGGAGCGAACAGGTATTTTGTAGGAGGATAACTCTGCATAATGGCCTAATTCCAGGTTTAGGCTCTCTAATCGAATACTGTAGGAGAACAGACAGTCTGAATACACATTCTCTGTTACTCTTACAACTCAATGATAAAAAGACAAGTACACTGTGCTGTGCACCTAGACATTGATTTGAAGGGTTACTATGGTAATACTGTATATAATATAGTATTCTTAACTATAACGATCATGCTGTATATTAGATCCCCAGGATTTACTCATCTTATAGCTGGAAATTTATACTCTTTGATCAACACTGTGCAGTGTGATAAACTATAGTAGCTATTTAAGCTTTTATCTTTAGAGTAAGTGTATTGTTCCATAAACTTAACTTATTCTTTCTAAAGGTTATTCTTTGTGTATTATCAATCATTTGGTTCAGTTCAGGTTTAGAAATTGAACTTTCAATCTATTGATATCATTGAATCTAAAGTGTATCTCTTGTAGATGCCATATGGTTGGCTCTTCTTTTCTTATCCAGTCTGACAATCTCTGCCTTTTGATTAAGTTTTTAACCTATTCACATTTACTAGTATTGTTATAATTGGATTTCTGTCTGCTGCTTTACTTTTTGTTTTCATGTCATATGATTTTTTATTCTCCTATTCCTCTTTCACTGTCCTGTTTTGCATTAAGTGAATATTTTCCCTAGTATAACATTTTTATTCCTTTAATAATTTATATATATATATATGTGTGTGTGTGTGTGTATGTATATATATATATGTGTGTATATATATATATATATATATATATATATATATATATATATATATAATCTCCTCACCCAAGGACATGTTCATTGATTTTTAGAGAGAGGGGAAGAAAGAAAGAGAGAAACATTGATGTGAGAGAGAAACATTGATAACTTGCCTCTCATATTCACCCCGACTGGGATTGAACAGGCAACCGAGGTATGTGCCCTGACCGTAATCAAACCTGTACCCTCTCGGCATATGAGAAAATGCTCCAGCTAGCCGAGCCACATCAGCCAGGGTTCACTATATTTTTTAAGTTATTTTATTATTGGTTGCTCTCGGCCTTGCCATATACATCTTAACTTATCAGACTTTACTTCAGATTTACACTAAATTAGCTCCTGTGAAATAGAGAAATATTACTCCTATACAGATCTATCCCTTCCTCTTTTGTGCTATTATTATTATAATACATATATATATATATATATATATATGTATATTGCAAACTCAATAATCCATTAAGTTATTATTCTTTTACTTTTAAAACAATAATTGTAATTAAATAAAGATAGCTTTCGGTAGAGGAGGGGTGTTGCAAAGGGCAACAGTAATAGTATAAGAGGATTTTAAAAGTTGATCAGAACTTTAAAGAATGACTTCCTAAATTCACAATCCCCAGACTTCCATTTCAAAATACTTGAGGACAGAAATATAATCTCCAACATCCAGACTCACTACACTCTGGTTCTTTGACTTTGCCTGCACATACACCCACATGTTCTGCTGCAACGTGCCTCCTCCGAAGCACATTCTGCTAGTTGCACAGAAGACAGTGCCAACCCAGGCAAATTGAGAAACATGTCCTAGGACAGGCAGTAAGTGCCACCTCCCTGACAAAAGGATTCCTAATAGCAAAATGCATTCTCTGTTTCCAAAGTAGAAAAGGCCATGGCTGCAAGAAAGAAAAAAAAAAAAAAGGTGGGGAAGGGGGCAGAGAAAAAAGAATATTCATAATCTTATTACAAAACGAACTCTCCTGAAATCTTACCCGAAATGGGGTGTTGATTTGACTGGTGAGAGTGTCTAGGATGTGAACATTCTCGTGCTGGTGCAACAGGATAAAACGGAGGAAGATCTCAAGTAGTGCTGGCTCGGAGATGCTACGCAGAAAAAGGTCCAAGTAGGCAGTTGTGGTCATGACCTCCTCCACAGTCACCTGGGACCAACGACAGAGTGAGCACAGGTGAGCATCCTCTCGACACTATGATACATGCCTCCCCGATGGCCTCTGGCCTCACCACAGTGACCCCATCAAGGCAAGGACACACCTGCCACAGGAACACACCTCAGAGCTTCATCTGAAGCCCATAACCTATTCACACTCTACACTACCTCATGCTGCTTCCGCCCTTTAGTTCAGCAAGGGAAAAGCAAAGGCATAAAGAAGCCATTCAATGTTCAGACAACTCCTAATCATCAAATGCAGTTCACACACCATAAAGATTTCAGTATGTAATCTCAGAGGGGAAAACGATAATGGAAAGTATTTACACGGTCAGTAAAGGATTAATTAGATAGCTCAGCATAACTTGTTTCATTATTAGTCATTCAATAAGTATTGGTTGAGACCTGCTATGTATTAGGAGCTGGAAACATTAAGAAGATATTTTTAGCCAGGAAGATGGATTATACATACGACCTAACATACAAAATAATATGCTAACAAATGGCAAATGAGAGGTGAAGACACAAGGGATGCAGATGTTCAGATACATTTCTGGAAAGTTGCAAGTCACTGCATCATATGCATAAAGTGTTACTTATAATCTGCCATAAGAGTTTACGGCTCATAAAGTAACTGGATTTTTTATAATACAAATTAGTATTTTCTACATGGTGTGATCTCCCACATGCAGTAAAATTCCAATCTTTCAGGAAACAGAACGCTCTAAAGAGTTAAGTTTTTCAAAGAGCTAAGGACGTGATGCTTAAAGCATCAAGAAATTAACGTTACCATTGTGACTGGGAATATTTTAAGAGCTAGCATACATCTGTCTTCCTAAAAGCAGAATGTAACATCTCTTGCTGAACAGGGGACATCAACTGCCTTATGGTCTGTAGTACAGAAATACGCAAACAGGGCTGCATGAAAATCACTAGGGAAACTTCAAAACTTCCGACTCCAATCCCATGCCCTAGAGCTCTTGGCCATCTCCGCTGCCTGATGACACAGGAAATGGCTGGTGGTACTTTCAGTGGGATTACATCTTCTCTTTTTCAGTTTTCCATCTTCTTTATTTCTCCCTTTAAAAGGGGTAACTGCCACTTGATCATACTGTTACTGGGCCATTCCTTTTATATACATTTCTCTTCCCCTTGTAATTTTCTGCTTTCAAAACCCACAAAGCAGTTTAGAAACTAGATCTCCAAATCTGCTTGTATACGTGCAGATGGGCCTGTGCGGACACATCTGTGCATTATGGCTTCAATTACTTCCACAAATTTCTTGGTTCTTATGTATATTCTAGGTCCATGAGTCCAGGTGGGTAAGAGATTATCAAGTCAGTTGTGCCTGTTTTCTTTTTCCTGAGCAAGGCATGCCTTCACACTGCATGTCAACCCGCCCTCTCAGAACCCATTGACAACTCACCAGCAGTGCCCTGGGTGGTCTGAGAACGGCCTCAGAGGGCAGACACCCTTCCCCCACCAGCTCAGCACCAATGTTGTGATATACTCAAATATTCGACACACCACTGTGTCATCGGAGCCACTTCAAAGGGCTCTCTGTGGCCCAAATATAGCAAAGGAAACGTAAGCATCAACCACTTGGCAAATAAATTACCTTGAGAAGAGTGCGTCTCATGGACTGCCCCAGCTTCTGAAACAGGCTGCTTCTATCCTGTGTCTCCCAGTGTCTGTAGTTACTGACTCCTGGCACTTAGTCCTGTCCTGGGACACAGGCTGTCTTTTTCCTTATTACTCCAATGCGATGTGCTAGTCTAGCACCTGCGCGCACTTAATAAGCATCTCCTGCATAAGTGACATCCCCCAAGGACCAGTGATTCACATAGACCAGAACTGAGCTTCATTTTTAATTCTTCTCTCTTCTCTGCATGTGTCCTGAAGGCCCCAGAGAGAGGGGGCATTTGTAATGAAGACATAAAATAACAGATGTCACCAAGTGGCTGAGGCGGGGGGGGGGGGGGGGGGGGGGGGGGGGCGGCGGCGGGGGAATGACCCACAACACCTAACAGGTAGTTTCATGAGCTCACACTCTTTCCACTACAGCAAGCTCGGGGTCCTTCTGCAGAAATTGAATCCAAAACCATTTAGGCAAAAGTCTAACTCCCTAACATTTTGCTCACTAGAACAAAAGTAGCACTGATCACTCCGAATGGGCGTGTAGTTTCATCTTCCCTACTGGGCACTGCTGAGCGGACCGTCATGCGGCACTCCAGGAGCTGCCTCGGCACCAACAATGCAGCATCAGCGTGCCCTCCACCCCTCAGTTACACCCGGCCTTAATAAGCTCAAAAGCACAGCAATCAACTCTCCAGGACATAAGTCTCAGTCTTGAGGGCTGCCATGGGAGGAGGGCACTAAGCAGCTATTGTTTACTATCTTAGGCTGGATAAATGAAAGATTTTTTTTTAAAGAAATCAAAGCTGTCATTTATAAGTTAAGAGGATTTAAGAAAGTACTTGGAAGGACAGCACTTACATAACGTGGTATAAATATTAAGGACCCAATTCTACTGGGCATCAAATTGCACACGTTATAAATCGAGGTCACACTCACCTTAAACTAATACCCGAACCAGGGAAATCTGGTTCCTTCTCTTTCCATTTCTTTTCTCCTCCATATTGTCAGAGCCCTTAGGAGCCTTTTATCCCAGAAGATCTTCTCCTGGCCCATTATCTTACTTTTCAGAATCTTCCTCTAATCCACCAAATAGGCAACCTCCTTCGCAAGGATGAGACCAGAGCCTAAGTGTGATCACTTGAAAGTTAACAATAAACCAGGAGAAAGCAGCCCTGCTGTGCAGAAGGTAAAACGGAAGCTTCCACTAATGCCCCAAAGAGGGAGCATTAGCCAAACAGAAAGCAGCCTCGGATTCATGGTCCAATTACAAAAGATAAGCAGCTGTTGATAGTAAGACCTTCTGACTGTCAATATCAATTTATAAAGAATTGCAGGTAGCTACAAATCTACATAGAAATTCTAGAAGAAATGGTAAATGAGGTTCTATTTTACCACTGTAGAGCTTAGAAATGTTATTTCTTACTAAAAGCAGAACAGAATGACTATAATTACCTAAGGAAAACTCATTCCTACAAACAAATAATTATACTTGACAAGGTAAGTACAACTGTAAACCAAAATAGTATATCTGCTTAAGTACTCTCTTTTTTTTTTCTGGTTGAGGTCAAATTGGTATATAACATTATATTAGTTTGAGGTGTATAACATAATAATTCAATCTTTACATACATTATAGTGATTGCCACAATAAGTCTAGTTACCATCCCTCACCACACAATTGAACCCCTTCACCTATGTCACCCATCCCCTAATTCCCTTCCCCTCTGACAATCACTAATCTGCTCTCTGTATCCATGAATTTTGTTTATACCTGTGTTTTGGTTTTTAGATTCTACATATAAGTGAAATCATATGGTATTTGTCTGTCTGACTTATTTCACTTAGCATAATATTCTCAAGTTCTATCCTTGTTGTTGCAAATGGTAAGATTTTCTTCTTTTTTTAAATTTTTTTTATATATATTTTATTGAGTTTTTACAGAGAGGAAGGGAGAGAGATAGTTAGAAACATCGATGAGAGAGAAACATCGATCAGCTGCCTCCTGCACATCTCCTACTGGGGATGTGCCCGCAACCCAGGTACATGCCCTCGACCAGAATCGAACCTGGGACCTTTCAGTCCGCAGGCCGAAGCTCTATCCACTGAGCCAAACCGGTTTCGGCGATTTTCTTCTTTTTATATATATATACCACATCTTTTTTATCCATTCACCTATCAATGAACACTTATTGTAAGTAATGTCCATACTACTCAAGGCAATCTACAAACTCAATGTAATCCCTATCAATATTCCAATGGTATTCTTCATAGAACTAGAACAAATAACTCTAAAATTTGTATGGAACTACAAACACCCTGAATAGCCAAAGCAATCTTGAGAAAGAAGAACAAAGTGGAAGGTATCACATTCCATGATTTTAAACTATACTATAAAGCTATAGTAATCAAAAAGTATAGTATTGGGCCCTGACCGGTTTGGCTCAGTGGATAGAGTGTCGGCCTGAGGACTAAAGAGTCCCGGGTTCGATTCCAGTCAGGGGCATATACCTTGGTTGCAGGCACATCCCAGTGGGGGGTGTGTAGGAGGCAGCTGGACAATGTTTCTCTCTCATCGATGTTTCTAACTCTCTATCCCTTCCTCTCTGTAAAAAATCAATAAAATATATATATTTTTTAAAAGTATAGTATTGGCATAAAAACAGACACATTGATCAATGGAACAGAGTAGAGAGCCCATAAATAAATCCACACATATATAGTTCATTAATTTGTGACAAAGGAGCCAAGAATATACAAAATGGGAGAAAGGACATCTCTTTGATAAACGGTGCTGAGAAAACTAGACAGTTATACATGCAACAGAATAAAACCAAACCACTCTCTTATACCATACACAAAAATTAACTCAAAAATGTATTAAAGAATGTCAGACTTGACACCATAAAGTTCCCAGAAGAAAACACAGGCAGTTGGCTCCTTGCCATAGGTCTTGGTAATGATTTTTTGGATCTGACTCTAAATCAAAGGCAACCAAAGCAAAAATAAACAAGTGAGACTACATCAAACGAAAACCTTCTGTAAAGCAAAGGGAACCATCAACAAAATAAGAAGGTAACCTACTGAATGTGTTACCTACTTACATATATGTATGCAAATCATATATCTGATAAGAGGTTAATGTTCAAAATATATAAAGAACTCAAACAACTCACAGCAATAACAAACAAACAAATGAAATCCGATTTAAAAATGGGCAAAGGATCTAAATAAGACATTTTTCCAAAGAAGACATGCAGATGGCCAACAGGCACATCAAAAGATGTTCAACATTACTAATTATCAGGGAAATGCAAAAAAAAACACCAAAAACAAAAAAAACCCAAAACACACACA